TGAGAAACCATTTACCTAGGTACATGGAATGCTTATACTATGTAGGAGACTGGTAGAGTCTTTCAAATTGCTGCAGAAATGGAAAGATACAACCTCAGGGTGTTTGGGACCAGTGAAACACACTGGTTGCAGGTTGGACAACAACGAATGGGTTCAGAAGAGCTTTTTTATACTTCGGCCATGAAGAAAATGCCACACATACACAAGGAATTGCATTAGTCATGTCCAAACAAGCACAAAATGCCTTTATAGCATGAGAATCTCATGGACCATGGTTCATCAAAGCTTTCTTCATAACAAAGAAAGAGGACATTAAAATGAACTTAACCCAATGCTATGAGCCTACCAACGACTACGATGAAGCATTAAAGATTGATTCTACTATACGCTGCAGTCAGTTGTCGGGAAGTGCCCAACAAAGGACCTGACCATGCTGATAAGAGACCCAAATATGAAGGTTGGAATGGACAACACTGGACACGAAGACATGGGACGACATGGATTGGATGAAAGGAACAAAGATGGTGATAGAGTTGCGAACCTATGTGTCTTTAATAAATCGGCCATAGGCGGCACTAAAGTCCCACACAAACTTTACACAAAGCCACATGGACCGTAACGGACCATACTATACAGAACCGAATCGATCATATCTGCATCAACAAAAAGTTAAGGAGGACGATGGAGGATGTGAGAACCAGAAGAGGAGCTGATATAGCATCCGATCATCATTTGCTGGTAACCAAGATGAAATTAAAACTTAAGAAGTACTGAACAACGGAGCGAACAACATCACAAAAGTTTAATTCGGCTTTTCTTCGGGATACTGATAAACTCAACAAATTCAAGATAGCCCTCAGCAATAAGTTCCAGGCCTTTTGTGGTCTACTCAATGAAATGGAACTACCATGGAGAGCAACTGGAAAAGGATAAAAGAGGCAAACACTTCAACATGTCAAGAGGTTCATGGCCACCAGAAGCACCATCACAAGGAATAGGTCACTGTATATACGCTGAATAAGATTGAAGCAAAGAGGAACAAGAAGGCAGCAATCAATACCAACCGAACAAGAGCAGGAAAGTCAAGGCACAAGCCGAATACACAGAAGAAAGCACGCAAGTGAAGAGGAGCATCAGAACCGACAAACGTAATGTATGGGAGTTTCAGCAATGATGGAAAAGGCTGCAAGAGAAATAAGCATGAGACAACTGTATGATACAACCGAGAAACTCGCTGGAAACTACCGTAAACCAGAACGACCAGTAAAAAGCAAGGAATGCAAGGTAATCACGAACATTGAAGAACAACGGAACAGGTGGGTAGAACAGTTCAAAGAACCCCTGAATCGACCAGCTTCACTGAGCCCACCCAACATTGAAATTGCACCCACGGACGTCCCAATCGTTGTTGGCCCACAAACAGTTGAAGAGATCAGCATGGCCATTAGACAAATCAAGAGCGGCAAAGTAGCGGTGCCAGACAACACTCAAGCGGAGGCACTGAAAGCGGATGAAGCAGCAACTGCAAAGGTATTTCACATTTTCTTCAGTAAGTTTTGGGATGAACAACAAGTACCAACAGACTAAGGAGGACTTCTGATCAAGAACACAAATAAGGCGATCTCAGCAAGTCTGTTAACTACAGGGGCATCACACTTCTCTCAATACCAGGAAAGGTCTTCAACAGGGTATTGTTGAATAGAATGAAAGACTCTGTAGACGCATTATTTCGAGATCAACAAGCTGGATTCCGTAGGGATCGATCGTATGCAGGCCAAATCGCAACTCTACGTATCATTGTCGAACGATCAGTTTATTGGAATTCATCACTCTACATCAACTTCATTGACTACGAGTAAGCATTTGATAGAGTGAACAGAACAACACTATGGAGGTTTCTTCGACACTACGGCGTGCCTGCCTGAGAAGAGCAGAGCAAAGCAAGAGCAGCATATCTACAACTAAAGAACATCTGGAACTAAAAACACTTGTCAACTAACACCAAGATCAGAATCTTCAATACAAATGTCAAGACAGTTCTTCTGTATGGGGCGGAGACGTGGAGGACTATGAAAGCTATCATCCAAAAGATACAGGTGTTTATTAACAGTTGTCTAAACAAAATACTTCGGATCCGTTAGCCAGACACTATCAGCAACAACTTACTGTGTTAGAGAACAAACCAGACTTCTGTGGAGGAAGAAGTCAGGAAAAAGCGCTGAAAGCGGATAGGAAACATGTTGGGGAAAGCACTAAACTGCGTCACGAGACAAGCCCTCACATGAAATCCTGGAGACCAATGGAAAAGAGGAATACCAAAGGACACAATACGCTGAGAAATCGAGACAAAGAAAGAATGAACAAAAATTGGATAAAACTAGAAAGGAAGGCTCAGGACAGAGTGGGTTTGAGATCGCTGCTTGGCAGCCTATAGGAGTAACAGGCGCAAGTAAGTAGCTAAGTAAGTAAACCTGATCTATAGATTATCCCAGGATTTTGTCTGTTCTTATTATGTGTCCGGGGCTTAGAATAGCCTGAGAACCATGTTACGTTGGGTTAAGCCAGGGAACTGTTAGGTGATGTGAATTGGGCAATCGATTAAAATACTTAAACAGTCTTTGTAGGTAGTAATTTCCTACAGATGTAATTCTAAGCTATTCCCTAGACTGTCAAGCACAGTCTTAGCTCAGCTAAAGTCAGAACAAGTAAGCTACTTGGCTTGATAAACTTTGCTTCGAACCGTAAGTAGAGGATAGGAAGAATGGATCTACAAAGCGAATACTTAAATTCACTTGGTATTATTTGTTTGAATCTTCCCATCGATTTTTGTTAGGACTGCAACTGGTCAGTCTGTAATTGGCATATGTGCATACTGTGCGTATTGCCTCGATATACCTTAATTCACAAGCATGGTTAGCAGAGATGGACAGTGGCTAGCAGTGGAATCCAGGACACGCGTTTCGTCCTATTTGGGACTCGTCAGCTGGATGTACCTGCATCTCAGAGTTGATGTTCACTACGGGACTCGAACCCAGTACCCTCGCTTCAAACGCCATCGCGTTATCCACTCGGCCACTGAGTCCTGATAGCGATGGGAAGATTCAAACAAGCAATACTAAGTGAATTTAAACTTCACCCCATCGCACAAGCAAGTGGCTATCAGGACTCAGTGGCCGAGTGGATAACGCGATGGCGTTTGAAGCGAGGGTACTGGGTTCGAGTCCCATAGTGAACATCAACTCTGAGATGCAGGTACATCCAGCTGACGAGTCCCAAATAGGACGAAACGCGCGTCCTGGATTCCACTGCTAGCCACTATCCATCTCTGCTAAAGCGAATACTGTTTTATGATAAACATAAAATTGTGATTGGTGAATATGAAAAACATAGTCATACAAGGTCAAAAGAAGCTGACGTCAAGGTGGACGCCCCACATTGTTATTGATGGGTTCATTTATCGACCACACATTACAGTCTTCCTATTTTAGTTAACTCAAGCTGATCAAGACCACCAATCCAAACGAATAAATAGGCGCATAATATCTAATATAGTCCAAAAACTACAAACAAATTTAGACATTCAGTCTAATGATTCTAATGTAATTTATTCAGCACAAAAGCAGTGATCATCGTGAAGTGATTTTTTGACTGAAAACCAATAGTGAGTTATAGTCTCTGGTGAAGATACGACTAGTATTCTGATTTTACAACCTGCTACCAGTAGCACCTTCTATATGTGAAGCTTTTCCTCGACCAATGGAAATCAGAAGTCAGACGAGAAGAGGTAGGAAAGATATATTTGATACGTCATCAATATATCGGGAAGCGTTTATTCTAAGCTGGCTAGTGAACGTAGGAGCAGTGTCCCACGCTGAGTCGAAACGTGATCTGGTAAGGATGTATGACCGAAAGCCTTCAGTTAAACAAGTCTACTCAAACAACGTGGTCAGCATCCAATGTCGAACACTTAATGAGCTATTGATTTTGGGGATTTATTTACAGCTACACTGGCTTGGAGTGTGTGTAATCAAATGCCACAACACTTAATTAGACAACCGAGCTTAACAATTTCAGCAGTACGCTTAATTGCATCGGACAAAATGTAACGAAATTTAATGCTAACTAACACCATTGAATAAGTAACTTCGTGAGCATCCGAGATTGACAACGACCACGTTAGTTTCACTAGACATGAATTATGTGAAGAGGGTCTATCAAGAAACACTTCTAGATGACATCAGGATCTATCGAAGGATCTTTTCCAACCTCGAATCAGCCAGTTTCGGAATCTCACATCACTATGTCTTTACATGAGAAAATATATTCTTCTGAAAATTTCAACTTTTTGCCTCATTGTTTTTATATAACGTTGTTGGACGATACTCTGTTGTTGATTACTTTAGGTCCTGCTGATTTATATACATAACTATTCTTAATCTCACAATATCCAGAGAGTTTATTCCCTACCCAAAGATTCATGTTTGTAATTTTGATTTGTTTCTCATTTTTTGTGTTTCTAAGTTTCGTTAGTGCTTCATTAAAACGTTTTTGTGCCTAAAACATGATTAAACTGAATTGAAGTCAGAACGTTGGTAACAGCAATTGACAGGTGGCCTGATTAATTGATTACATAACAACTTCTCGATCTCCACGGGACACTTAGTATCTAAAAGTAAATCGGTAGCAATTTATTGGTGTAGGTTTCCCCGGGCCGAGTGACATTTTTATGGCCCCACAGGGTTTTCCTCACAATCTGTAGTTTTCCTCCCAGTTTATGGAAAACGCCAGATCGATGGGCATGTCTGTAACCTCAAATTTAATGGAAATCCTGGGGAAAAACTCCAAAATCTGTGTTATATGGTTATGCGAGCAAGAGTTTATTATTCAGGGTATTTTTAAGTTTTTAATTAGGCAATTACAATAGATTATTGTGTTTTGTTACATAATAATCATGTTCTATGTGCATTTCTTTCTCCTGTTGCGGCATTGTTTCAGTGCGTTAAATAGGCACGGGATAAAAAAGCGTCTAGTCCATACCACTTTTTCAAAAAAGAGAGGTGATTCTAAATTCAACTTTGTTTCGCGGACCTAATGCGGGTGAGTTGTCGTCACTTTTACAGACTGTGATCGCTCTCCCCGTACGACATGACGTCAGCTAATTATTTCTTCTAAACCAATGATGTAAGGCGTAACGAAAGATGAAGGATGAGTGGTAGACAACAGGTGCCACCCTAGGATGACAAACTTGACGGGCTGCACTCGATCGACCGGCGATGCTATGATCTGTGCATGAGTCTTAAATGCATTTAAGTCGGCTATTCGTCGGATATTTAGGGGAAAAGTCCGTTATTCGTCGGATATTTAGGGGAGAAATCGGTAATTTAGCGACATTTGAAAAACAGAGCGACAGAAAGGGGAAATTACGCTTTACTTCCCCCGGACAGGCGAAAAAGCAGACATTTCGATGCATTTCCCCTTTATTTACGACTTATTTTCCAATGCATTTTCCGCTTTATTTCCCCTTTGTTCGCCTTTATTTCCCCTTTATTGGTTGTTTGGGTGACCTTAAGAAATGTTAGTCAATCAGGAAACAGTATAGCATGAAGATATATTATACAAAATCAAAGAATAAAAATGGATACACTTCTTTTGCATAGTCAAAATAATTGTCAGGGTTAGACATAGGTTCAAAGGTTTTCAAATTTGTAAGGCCTACAGTAGAGGAACTCATCCATATGGCTCCATAATAGCCGCTCTCTGGAGCTATGATAAAATTGCAAATATTCTTTCAACCTCTACCACATAGCTTCAATATTGTTTGTGCGTACTCTGGCTGTATAAGCTTGCCATTTTTATTACTCATATACCTCTAAAATACTTAACACTGAACAGCCGAAGATTCAGTAACATCTGCAAATATTGCAGTCAGTGTTATTGGTGGTTTTGTTATATAGTTCACAGCAATTATTATAATCTGCCTTAGTGTCAGTTTGGATCAAGCAAAAAAGGTCCTATTCTAGCATGCTTCCTACAACATATATTACATCGAAAGACATCATCATTGTAGTCTGCACAGGGTATACAAGTCATTTGATTACCGCAATTACAAATAAAGGAACTTTTTAATAATTTATTTATTTATTTAAACATATGAATATTGGTACAAAGGGACACCAGATACATATGTGCCACACTAACCTCATTTGATTTGTGTGAGAGCTGTCATACTACCCGGCTGCCCAGACTGAAGCATGTGGTTTTTTTTAGGGAGCCACACACGTAGCCTTTGACCTGAAAGTCTGATCCACAAGGCAGTGGAGCATCGTGAGATGCAGTTCCATGGTAGCCGGTGACCAACGAATGGTTCATACTCCATTCGTTCCTTCAGAATACTGGAGCCATGTGCACCATTGGTTTGAAATCAGGGTTTTCCAACTCCCCTTGGTGAACTTTCCGTGTCCACCAACCAGGGCAAAGCGCTGGACATTAGCTTTTCGTCCTTTCAAGTAGTAGTCCCATTTATTGTAGACACTTAATTGTCACGTCTTCTCTAGAATGCGCTGTGAACCGACCATACATGAGCATCAGGTACTGAAATCGGAGCCATAACTTTGATTTCCCTCAAACGCTTCTGGTTGTTTCGTCCATAAATTATAGTCTCGCCCTTCTGCTCTGCAGCTTTTTTTAGCCGCCGTTAATCTTCAGTGTACTGAGCGCGTAATTTTTCTTCTATATTATTCTAAAGGGAAAGCTGAGATAGGATTTTAGACAGCCATGTTTAATGATATCGTCAACAATGTTCTTCAAACTATGTACACTATAGACTGTGTTCGCTACAGCAAGAAACTTCGTGTCTCAATAGAATGCCATTCAGACTATCGCAAATACTATTGTAGCAGACTGTGCAACTTTGGGTGTATCAATAATTAGGCTGATAATGACAGACGTTGAAAGTCTGTGCAGTAATAATGATAACATCATGCAGAACTAAAGGACCTAAGTGCAATAAAAACAGCCTGCATTTAGCTGCAGCTCAAACAGAAACATCATTCAGTGAACGACATTTCCTTCGAAAGTCCGAAGTCGTGTGTTGTCTGCAACACTCTACGGCTGCACTTATGGATGCGAAAATAGAATGGTTCATTCATTTTGGTCACTTGCTGGCTTTTCTCAAAAAGGTTAATAAAGTCAAAGAAGGCAGACATAAATGGGATTATATATTAAGTAGTACTACTCGATATAATGACCCCAATGACTAAAGAAAGTATGTTGCATCTAATTCCCCCAAATGACCTGGTACGGCCGAGAGTGGGGGGAGTCCACTCTCCTTCTCGAAATGCTCTCACATGGCCACGCGTATATAGCCTCTGCCAAGGAAGTCCTACTCACTGCCTTCTCGTGGCACGGATGTTGTTTACGAAATTGAGAGGACGAAAAGCGAATGTCCGGCGCTTTAACCGGGTTGGTGTTCACGGAAAGTTTACCTAGGGTAGTTTATTACACATGGGTTGGTTTTCATTAGTTTTATTCAACAATTATTAAAAATAAAATTACGTTAAAGAATCTAACTGGGCACCCAAATCAGTCTCTCGTCTTAAGTTCAACTGAGTGTGGATAATAATAGCCAAGAAAGAAAAGTTGTAATCTACGGTATATTGATATTAGGAAAGTAAATGCTTTTTAACAGAAGTTTCTTATTTCGGAGGTTCCGTGGACGATTCCCGATATAAAGGAACTGTTCCTGACCTATCAACCAGAAACACCATAAAACCCTCCAATAATCAAGTTGACGTTTTCAGAAGAGGGTTTATTTTCTCAGCACCTCTTTAAATCCGTGCTGGTTGTTTTAGTCCTGCAAATGAACTGGAAATTCTGGTAACAATCATAACTGTTTGCTTAGATCCCATTAAAAATAAAATAAAGGCATCTTGTACTGACCATCAATTCCAGTTATCTTGGTAGCGGCATCTAAAAAGCCAATGCCCTCTGCACATTTCAAACTAGTAGATATATAACCCAAGGTTTCCAGTCATGATTGAACCAGTTTCCCGGACTAGTCTCCATAAATTATTTGACAAACAGTCAGTCAGACGCAGTATGCAGCTTAACACATGTGTCAATGTTGCTTAAACATCCATAATTTCTTGCTTCATACATTTTAGTCGATAAAAAATGTCATCACAAACTATTATGGTTTTTATCACAAAACCCTATGATCAACATCATTATTTATGCAGTCTTCAAACTACATTTCAGAGTTCAGCAATCGGTGATCAGAACCTCCATACATGGTCCTATGCTTGGCTGTACAGATACATAGAATCAGTACATGAATTTCGAAACAGTTTTGTTTTTGATAGTTCTAGTTTTGGGCGTGGTTGTTCATATTTGGATCTTATCATTTCATGTTCTTTTATTAGCTCTCGTGTGGTTTCGTATCTTTCATCTCCATGCAACATATTGTCTTGTTTTTCATAGTTCTCAATGTCTAACTGTACCAAATTTTTTTTACCGCCTGCACCATTTTCTTATGCATTTCCTTGTCAATGATTATTTATAATCTATTTTCCATATTTTAGGTATCTTGTGGCCACAACGTTATCACATAATTTTCCGCTAACATTGTTAACCAGAAAACTGACCCTTCATTTTGAGATTATGTTATGGTTTGTGTGGTTAATAATTTCCTAAACCTATAAGAGAAGGAGCTTAGCACCAAGTAAATTAAATTGTACAAGAGAGTCGTCCAGTGCACCCGAGGTATCTGGTTTCCCGCTAATCTATTTTTGTAGCCGCCGCTGAAAAAGTACAGAACTGTTTTGCATGAAAAAAACGTTCCAGATCATTCTCCGGTTGACTTCAACTCTTTCAGAAAGTCATCACCTGCATGCGACTACTCCGATCCTCACGTATGTAGAAAACGTTTTATTGAAAATCCGTTTAGGAAAATCTTATTCGCAATATATTATCAAAGCCTTTTCGAGTGCCAATTATTAACTATAATGGTAAGATTTCTGCATAATGCTTCTATTTTTAGGTAGTTCAAATGATGTAAGGGTCTTGGGTGTTCGTCGTAACACATCTAGGGTTGCTTTACACGACCCTTTTGAAGAGGATGCCCTAGTTTTGTATTCACCTCCAGAAGTGACAGCCCATGACGCTCTTAAACAAGAGGCGTAATTATAAATTTAACCCAATAAATATTTTCTAGAACTAAGAAGTTAGTTCACGTCGTCGTCGACCCGATGTTATCGAAAATTCTTCGTCCTCATCAGCGTGAAGTAAGTTACTAACAAGTAGTTCACCTTGTAAGTGGATGTTTGAGAAAATCATGCATTTTTAACCAGACATATTTAATGATTTCGTGAGTATATCTCCCCGTGCTCTAGTCAAGTTTTGCACTTATATTTTGTGAATTGCACTCGTATCTTTTGAATAAGTCATTATTGTTGATTTTATTGACAAATTCACACGTAATGTTTTGTTCCTGACTTAATCAGTTTACATTTTACTATAATACAAATTTCTATTTGCCAGTGAAAGCTTCTGAAAGAGAAATAACATCGGCGAAAGTACAGCCACATTTGACTAAATCTTGTACAAATGTTATTTTCTATTTTATTTGTACGATGTGGTCAGTTTGTTTGGCATATAAACTCAGTATGTTTGATATACGATGATTCATACCACGGGTTGTTCTGGACTTAACTGGCTGTGCTAGGCAGAAAGCAGGACCGATACGTACTCTAGACTGCTCGTACAGTTTTCGTGTGTCACTGTTCCAATCGATGATTCGCTGCTCTCTGATTGGCGGGTTTTATCACGTCATACGTTAACAGGGCATCCACTCGGCCACAAGTTATAACAGTAAGATTATTCACTGGTGTTTTAACTTGGTTTACATATTTCATCATTTAAGGAAATTAATTTTCTAGATTCATCTGCTTTCATTGTTCATAGTTTTCAAAAATTACTTCATCATTATAGGGTGTCAAGTTTATGTATGATTGTGTTACTGGTGTACAAATACCTAACAATCATGGATGTATAATGGCAGATGAAATGGGTCTTGGCAAAACATTGCAATGTATCACATTGATCTGGACATTATTGGTTAGTACAATGTAATTGTTAATTCATACTTATATGTTCTGACAATATTTTGAGTTGCTTCACGCTACACACGACGACGAATCATTTAAATTGTTTAAATATAACTGAAGTGACAAGTTACAAAGTGCTTGCGTAGAACTCTTTAAAATTACTTTATTTCAAAACGTAAAGCAGTAAAGCTATTAAGCATAATATCAAACCTAATGATCATTCTAAAGTAAGTCTGGTATTTGACCTTGAATTAGCCTGAAGCGATAAAGCTAGATAAAATCCAGTGGATATTTATCGATGTGTATTTTTTTAAAAATCAGAACGGGTTTTTGCTGATTTTGTATAGTAAATTTTTCGTAATATGAAGGGCATAACCTGATCTACTCTATGTAACGTAGCAACAGTGAAAAAAACGAGTTATCGTTTAGCAATATAAGACGCCTATCTCTTAGTAATTGAGTTACAAGTTTAAACTCCATTCAATCTACCTTGGTTTGGTCAACTGGGCCGATATTATTAGCTATCAAATATAATACGGCCGTAACTTGGCACACAAATATATATTCCACTGACATTCGTTGAAATAAATGTCAATAAACAATAAGTGTCACGTTTCAACGTTCAAAGTTTGCATTAGATTAATTTTCTACCAAGAGAAGTTCACAGACTGCTTATTCGACAACATTCTGTGTACCATAATGATGCTGTAGACGTAAGACGAAAACATTTTTCCAAATAAAATGTTGGTTGGTTTTCTCAAATACCAAACATAATATAAAAGACACTTCTTCATCTCTCATGAATCCGCATTACACAATACTGAAAAAATATATTCCGAGAGGATGAAAAAGCTCGAGAGACAACCCTGACATTTGTTTCGAAATATGCTTGATATGCCATTGACGAGTAGTCCGTCCTCCCTCTTAATGCTCTCACATGTAATCTCTCATTTTCCTGCTCAACCGATAAAGTCCTGCTCATTGGCTTCACTTGTTTTGGTTTTGTGTTTTAAAAACTTATTAGATAATATTTTAGAACAATACTGATAAGTCATTAGTTTGTTTAACTTTCTTTTGTTACATAATTTCTCTTAGCGTCAAGGTCCGGAAGGTAAACCAATAATCGACAAGGCAGTGATCGTTACACCTAGTAGCTTGCTAAGAAATTGGTACAATGAATTTCAAAAGTGGTTACACGGGAAAATACATCCATTGGCTATCGATTCCGGGAGTAAGGAAGATATTGATAGCAAATTAGGTAAGATAATTCTTACTGGAATCGAGTAATCAATATTCATAGAAAAAAATGAATCTTGATTTCAAATTGTCAGTATCTTTCATTTAACCATTTTTTATTAGGGCCTTTTCAAACGCTGTCACTGTTCCTAGGGACTTGTTTGTACATGCATATTTTGGACTCATAATAATAACGTCTTTGCTAAGATGTATTTGATGACATTATTTCCCTTCTGCTTTCGTTAGAGTTTATGGCTTTATGATTTAAAGAGTATGCTTACAGTTCATTTTCACATACGTTATTAAATGTATCTTGCCTCCTACTCAATAGTAGTGAACGTTATTTGGATATCGTAAACACTGATATTAACTTAATTTTTTTGGTTTTCTTACTTCTCAACTTATTCCAATAGCTGGTTTTCTTTCACAAGCCGGTCGTCGAATTCCGTCGCCAATTTTAATTATCTCTTATGAAACGTTTCGATTGCATGCTTCCGTTTTACACAAAGGTTCTGTGGGTCTGGTTCTGTGTGATGAGGTAGCTTATGTTATTTTGTGTCATATTGTTATCATAACTTCATATAGTTGTAATTCTCTTGTTTAAAATTTCTAGATGATTGTTTAGCATATGGTAGTAAAATCAATTTGGAGTGACAACGGCTTAAAGCCAATGAAACAACGACTGATTAGCCTTAATGTTTGATTTTTGTTTGTGGGTTGAAAAATGCAAAAGCCTTACACATTCGTACATCAATTCTGTCGTTCATTGAATAAAGTTCTAAAGTGATATAAATTGTGACAACTAAATGTCATCGGCCCACTAGCACTAAATATTATGCAGCTGTTTTGAAGATTAAGTAAAAACCACGTAGTTTGAATAGCCATGCAATAAAGGCTTTCCAGTTTAGTATTAAACAAAAGGAACTCACGTTATTTAATTCTGCTGGCGCATTGCCCGCCATATACTAAGATTGTAGATCATAGCATTTTGTAAAAGTTTTTCCGTTTAAGAATTGCAACTGTCAACGGTATAATCAGTTTGGTCCATTCTAGAAGAACCATCCCAAGTGTCGTCATAAACCTGGAGGTAACGTTTTCGTCGACTTAATTTTCATGAATTGATATCCTTCTAGGAGGTTCACTTATCGACTTAGAATACGCAGATGACGTTGTCCTGTTTGGCGAAGACGCTGATAAAATGCAGTCTTTCGGAAGCACTGAGCATCTATGCCAGAATGCTTGGGATGCGTTCCCCCCCCTCTCACTGCAAATTGTCGTCTCAGGTCTGGCCTGCGTCAACACTTGAACTAAGGCTATGGAGTGATGTCGTCGAACTCATCGAAAACTCCACTTTCCTTGGAACTGTGGTCAGCCCTAATGGGTTTGTGTCTTATGAAATCTCTGCACGAATTCGAAAATCTCGTTTGTCTTTTGTCAACTTACAACACCTATGGCGAATTCGAGTTATCCATCTACCAATTAAAGGACGGGTATACTGCTCAGCAGTTCGTTCCGTTTTTCTTTACGGCTGCAAAGCGTGGTCACTAAGGATATGATATTTGTAAGTTACTAGTGTTTGATCACAGATGTCTTGGAAATATTGCTCGCATCTGTTGGGATCACTGGGTAAGTAATAGTGAGGTTAGACGTAGGGTATTGGGAGATGATGGCAAATCAGTTGATGAAGTTGTGAATCTTCGTGGTCTGGGATAGTCGGGCCACGTGTTATGTATGCCTGAATATCGATTGTCACGTAGCGCAATGCTGACTAGTATTAGAGACGGTTGGAAGAAAGTTAGGGTCGGCCAAACCAAAACGTGACGTCAGTCCTTGAAGTTACTAACTTCTGGTCTGAGCCATGTTGGTAGATACAGACTACTTGATTGGGGTCCGTGCAACTATCATAACCAATGGTTGGATACTCTGGGTGACATGGTTCAGAATTGATCACAATGGCATAGATGTATACACTCTGTGTCTTCCCTTAAACCGTGAGATTCAAATTACTTTATATCTTTCTTTCTATAAACTAATTCTATCTTCCTGTATTATATCCTTATATGCAATCTTCTATATATTACTACCACTAAAGTAACTACTATGAATTTGGTGTTCATTTTGTTGTGCTAATGAGGTGTGGCAACTTTAACCGATGCATATATGTGTCTGGTCCTACGTTGTAGCTGACTGACTATAGAATACCCTCAACGCTTGTGCTCGTACATAAACCAAAGGACTAAGAGAAGAGGAGATATTCCAGCATTATGAGGTGACAGTAGTACTGCTTCATTAGGGGAGGATGATTGTAGCAAAGCTCGGGTATTCTCAAATTACGTTGTTGCTGACTGACGGACTAACTGTAGTGAACGAAGGCCTGGTGAAGATAATCAATTTAATGTTAAGCACAAAACTGCAGTGCTTTCATAAATTAGGAAAACTATACGCTGAATACATTATTTGCGCATCTTTCAGTTGTCCTTTACATGCTTACGTGATTCTTTGAGCTCTGTTGTTGTTACAATCGCTCTCTGTTTCCCTTTCTGTTCCCTCCAACTTTATCTTCTGGTATGCATTTCACTTCCGATTGCTACTACATATCTGTCAACATAAGTAGCATACACCAGAATACGTCCAAGTATAGATCATAAAATGGGATCGAAAGTAGTTCTTCAAAATTCCAGGTTGATTTCATAGAGAGAAGAAAGTATGTTAGTATGTTAATTATTTAGCTATGAAAATTCAGCTTTCAACGTCATCTGATATCACCTTAATTTCTCACAGTATGTGAAACATGCATGAATGTTCACAAATCAAACCAACAGATAATGTTGCTCGAAATGCTTCTGGAGATATGTTATCACTAGCTAAAAAAATGGTCATATCTATTTTGTAGAAAAAGTATTCGATGATATATTTTATAATATGAAACAAAATGATTAGGATTTGACGGGCTTGGTTCGGGTCGATAAGATAAACATCTTTAATGTCGTCCTTAGACTCTGTATGCACTCAAGTAACCCCACAATCTAGCAATCGTGCTTTTGTTCACAAACTCATTACTTAATTGCTTTCATCAAAAACATTCATCGGCTTTTCGGAATAAATTGAGCTACTTCGAGTTTGCCTAAGCTTCCTTTAAAGATAAATACTGGATTTTGTGTTTCGTCTAAAGCGTCTAGTTCCTTATTTTTCAACACCTATTATTTATCATGATCTTAGTAAATTAGAATCACTTAGTGTCCTGTCAGTTGGTTAATCAGAACTGAGTTGGGGGATATTTTAACATATCATTCAAATCATATTTGTAACCTTTTTCTATCTTCATTATGAAGTTGCACTTCCTTGATAACTTTCTGTCGTAACGATGTTGGATATTATTAAAACTTTACGCAACTCAGTTAATCAAACGACCAAATAGTTTTAATGCAGTGATTAAAATTACGCTTCCTGAATGGTTCATTTAATCAATTAACCGTTTAAATAAATTTCTCGCAGTCTCTGTTCCTCAAATTCACATTACATATCTCCACAACCATGTTTATTTCGAAACAGTTGTTTGACTAACAAGCAGCAGTATAGTTAATATCAAAGATCGAATTTTCAGTAGTGTGAATTCATCTACTGGTAGGTCGATTTTACATCATGTTCGGGACAAAAATGTAGATTTTCTTCTAATTAGACGTGAAAAGATATTCACTTGCAGTGTCAACATCATGCTGTTAGATGTTTATTTTAACTTACTCTTACATTATGATCACGAGTTGATGAGTGCCAAAAGGATGTAATATTCACTCATTACTTTAGCTTGGGACTCAGTACAAACAAAAAACATATACACCACGCTATGAAAGTAAAAGTAACGCAGAAATTGTTGAAGATTGGATTCATAGTTTTTACCTACAGGGCAAGTGAAGATGTGAATGCTCTTCTAAAACTTATCCGTAATTACATTGTGAACTTCTTTAAACCAACGGTTTATTTAAGAAGTCTACTGCCTTTAACATGGTTCACTGGGCTAGTCAAAGTGCAGAAGCATTTTATTATTTATGATCTCTTAAAATCGTTTTTCGATAATTATTAAGAAAAAATGTATGCGCAAAACGATTGAACCACAGTCGTGGATGATTTACTTTGAATAACTTGGGTTTTGTTGCAGTTTGTGGCCTAGAATAATTGTACAGTTGCTCTCTTTGCTGTTTAGTAGATTTATTTAATGACACACAGGGAAGTGTTCGCTGTCAATTTTAATATTTCGTATACAGCAATTTACAGTTTATTTGTTTATTTAAACAAATATTGGTACGAGGAGGCACAGAATATATATGCACCACACTTCATCATTCGATTTATGTGGGGGCTGTGACACTGCCCCAGTGCCCAAACCGAAGCAGGTGGTTTTCTTAGGAGGCCGCTCCTCGAGCCTTTGACCTGAAGGTCTAATCCACAAGGCAGTGGGAGATGCGGTCCCATGTTAGCCGGTGACCAACAATAGGTTCATACACCTTTTCTCTCCCCAGGATCATGAAGCCCATGTGCACCACTGGTTTAGAAACAGGGTTTTCCAACTCCCCTAAATGGATCCTCCGTATCCATCAACCCGGTTAAAGTGCCGGTCATTCGCTTTTCATCCTCTCAATTTCGTAAATGACACCCCATCCGCGAGAGGGTAATGAGTAGAACTTCTCTGTCAGTGACTGTATACGCGTGGCCATGTGAGAGCATTTCGAGAGAGTGAGTGGACTCTCCCACTCTCCGCCGTACCAGGGCATTTGGGGACCAGGTTTCTGAAGTAACTTGATTAGTTTGTTTAACTGATTTACCACATAATAATGCATTCTTTTAGTTACCTGTTCATTAGCAAACCTTTTCTGTATAAGTTTTTGGTTCGAAGTTCTGAAACCGATTACTTGTCTGTTATTTCTTCCTTTAAAAAAAAGTAAGCTAGATTCTCTTGTAAAAAAGCCATTTTTTTTCGAGGTAATCTAGATTTTTTTCGTCGTTTCTATTTCACTTAAATAGGGTCATCGTTTAAAGAATTCTGAAAATCAAACATATCAAGCACTAGTTCAATTAAAATGTCCACGTCGTGTACTTCTTTCTGGAACACCGATTCAAAATGATTTACTGGAGTATTTCAGTTTAGTTCACTTTGTCAATATGGGATTATTGGGTACAGCCAGTGAATTTAGACGTCACTACGAAATACCCATTTTACGTGGACGTGATGCAGATGCTACTAATGAAGATCAAAAGAAAGGTGAAGAGATACTGCAGGAAGTATGTTTATTGACATTTTGTATTTCTGCCTGTTGTTCTTGTCCATGCCATATGACGTTAATAATTTCATGGGAAACACTCGCCATTTTCAAGATTTAAGTTCCACATCTTCTGAATATTCTCTCGCTACACTCTGATTCAATAACTGTCAGTCAGTTATACACACTATACTCCCTAGTACATATGTGCATCAATCCAAGCTGCTACATCCTATTAGCATAGGGAGATGAAATTATTCAGATAAATCCCAATGCAAAAAAATTGGTTGCGATATCAATAGTAGTGGTATAGTTCATACTACAGATATAAGTAGTATGTAACACCTATCAGAAGTGGAAGGCCTGTCAAAAGAAAGTTGAGAAGATTAAACTGAATAACAGAGAAAGGGAAACAGAAAGGAATTGAGAAGTTAAGAATGTAGGATGTAAAAGACGATTTATGGAAGGTTTGCAAATGAAGTATTTAATGTATTATTTCCACACTTTGCCAAAGAACTCTGTAATTTTGCGTTAGATAATAAATTGATTGTCCTCACCTGAATTCTCGTTCACTACAGTAGTAGCAGTAGGAAAGTTTACTCTGAGATTGAAACAGAGAGAAACAGTGAGTTCGTAGAGTAAAAAGGAAAGTATAGTTTCGAAGCTTCGGATCTAATGAAAGATAAATAGTGAATGCACCCCAACCATTGGGAATGATTCTAAGCCATGTCACCCAAGGTTCCTAACCATTATTTACATTATTCATACAGACATCAACCAGTTAGTCGACGCGCCCCCAAATGCCCTGGTACGGCGGAGAGTGGGAGAGTCCACTCACTCTCTCGAAATGCTCTCACATGGCCACGCGTATACAGTCACTGACAGAGAAGTTCTACTCATTACCCTCTCGCGGATGGGGTGTCATTTACGAAATTGAGAGGATGAAAAGCGAATGACCGGCACTTTAACCGGGTTGATGGATACGGAGGATCCATTTAGGGGAGTTGGAAAACCCTGTTTCTAAACCAGTGGTGCACATGGGCTTCATGATCCTGGGGAGAGAAAAAGCGTATGAACCTATTGTTGGTCACCGGCTAACATGGGACCGCATCTCCCACTGCCTTGTGGATTAGACCTTCAGGTCAAAGGCTCGAGGAGCGGCCTCCTAAGAAAACCACCTGCTTCGGTTTGGGCACTGGGGCAGTGTCACAGCCCCCACATAAATCGAATGATGAAGCGTGGTGCATATATATTCTGTGCCTTTTCGTACCAGCGTTTATGTTTTCAAGTGAAATAAAATGATAAATAAATTAGTCAACACCTAGTCCCATTATTCAGTGCATCAGTCAGTGTTTTGATGGACTTTTGTCATTTTTTAATTTTGGTAGGCTCTATTTTTCCGGCAACGTACTTAACAAGCAAGCATCACCTAACGAGATGGAAGGTGGTTGGGCATACGTAATACATGTTCTAACCTTCACTACCGATGAAAAGTCACTACTTCATCAACCGATTTTGCATCCTTATCTAATACATTTCGTGTATCCCTTAATATAGCTCACTTGATAGTCCGAATATACATGAGCAATGCTTCAAAGGTATTTTCGTTTAAATAGGAGCTGTCGATGAGCATGCTTAGTGTGGAATTTTCTATGACAGGTATTCACCTTGTATGCTCTCGCTACAAGACATCATTAAGAGACTGTGAAAAGCTCTCAAAAAAGGTCTTGGATGTTTAGTTTAGATATGATCACTTTAACCAGTAAAGGAAACAACAATAACAAATTAACACTTATAATTGTTAACTTGAACAAGCTTATATGGTAAATCGGATAGTGACATAATATTGTGAGATTAATGATCAGGGTAAATATGGGTCAGATAGGGTAAGAGAAATAATACTACAATTAGAAACTCGGCAGATGTTTGGTGGAAGACTGTTTTTTACAGTTATATGAAATCAGTAAGAAATAATGGAGTGGGGTGAGTGCTCATGAGATTATTAGTAATAATAAGCCAATAGTAATAATAATAATAGCAGTTATAATACAAAGCAATTAGTCCGTTTGGTAAATTTGGATAATGTAATGAGAAAACGAAGGTTGTCAGAACTGTGTGATACATTAGCGCAATGCGTTGAGAACAGTCTGGTCACATATACTTGTTAGGAATATTTATATATAAAGATAAAAAGGTCAAACAGACAAATGGAGGGTAAAAGGAGACGAAGATTATGAAGAAAATAATATGAAAACTCATCACGCTAGATTACTAACTTACACTCGCTACCTCTCGTACAGGAGCATAGGCTGCCTACCAGCATTCCCCATCAAACTCTGTCCTTTGATGCCTGCTTATGATTCTCGGCTCAGTGTGTTCATTGGTCCTCCTCTTTCCTGTTTCCCTTCAGGATTCTAAGTTAGCGCTTGCCTTGTGACTCAGTTTGGTGATTTCCGTAATGTATGTTTTTTCCACTTACCAGATAACTTAAATGCGAAAAGTAGTTATAGTGAGACTGTTTTGTCAAATATATTTTAAAACTTGTGAATCTCTTCTGGTTATTTTGATAAAGAATGTCTTTTCGTTACTTTAAACATGTCAATAAGAATTGTGTAAAAACTGGGTTTTGATTATATTCCCTCTGAAGAATCTTGGATTAGGTTGATGAACGAAACGTTGGGATTATTTTAATTACAGTCATGGAGATTACTCAAATACAACTTTTCAGTTTATTGTTATCCATATAGTTGAAGCCCAATTTCTATCAAACGATTGATCCAAATCTTGATTAACGTTCATGTACGGCATTACAATGTTCATAATAATTGAATTGACCAAAAAACTTCATAGTTTTAAATTGTGAATTAAGTGATGTACAAAAAGCCGGAATATCATTTAAAATTCTTCCATTGTTGCGGGAATACTTTCAACTATCATATCTGGCCAATGTAGTTAATTCAATTCTTTAATCGTTATTAACGATTTTCATAATTCATTAATGGTGTTTTTCATTTATACTGTGGGTAATATGGTTAAACCTTCTATGGAAAATTGACTTTTATTAGGTGTGACACTATGCTCATATGGTTTGAGGTCGTATGATTAACAACAGGAAGTTAAGTTTATGTGCTGCACGGTTTGATGAGGTGTTTGTTGATTAAGTCATTAATTTGATGTAACCGAAAATAAAATTGTAAGAAACTTCTTATTTTGAAGGTAATCATCAATAAGAATGGAGATATTTTCTAAAGATATATTTAAAAACGACATTTAGAAAGAAAGCGTTTCACATCTCACTCGTTTAACTTGGTGGTAGCTAAAAAATATGCCACCAACAACCTATTTAAACGATTATGCGCCCAACTAGAAACTTATGGACTGTGATCTAGATCCCGATAAGAAATAGAGTTCTTATTGTGAAATAGAACTGGACTGGTTTCTAGTTATCAACCAAATACCTTTGGGATGATTAACTCTTCAAAGTTGCCGAGCAAGACTACCTTTCTGGATATGCAATGCTTGAAAGTACTTATATTCAAAAGTGCCTTTAAAATGAAGTCAACGATGTGATTTGTTCGTGTCTTTTACTCATTCACTCAACCTTGTTACCCCTGATAGAGGATCACAGGCCGCCCACCAGGATTCGCCAAACACCTCCGTCCTAAGCAATTTTTTCCAGTTGCTTTTTATTTACTATTCATTCTTTTGGTGTTTGCTTCCAATCATGTGAATTCAGTGCTTCAGCTGGTGTCTTGTCAGGTCCTGCTGCTTTCTCATTCTTGATTTGTTTGATGGCCACCCTGATTTCTTCGGTCGTTGGTGGAGTGAAACCTATAGGAAGGTCTGTGTGTATAGCTTCGATATCCGGTAGATTCAACGGAGCTGGTGTATTCAAGAGTTTGTAGAAGTATTCTACCTATCTGTTCCTCTGTTCTTGATTCTCAGAGATTAGACTATTACCATAGCCATTATTATTATTTTTATTTTTATTGTTATTATTATTATTATTATTATTATTATTATTATTATTATTATTTGCGTACTTATTCTTCATCTTTGTATCGTCTTCGTGTAGTCAGTTTTATTTTATTTCTTTAGTTAATTTTTTCTTGTTTGCTGTTATGTTATTATGTTTGTCTACTACGTTGTTTTGCTGAAACGCGAGTTCTTTAATTAAAGTTCAGTGATAATTTTGTTGATTCATTCTCTTCATAAAGACTCAATTTGTAATTCATTGTCCATATCAACATTTCATTGTATGAGTCTATATTTACTTCACATGAGGAAATTCTAAGTTATTAGTCGACTAGCATCGTATATAATGGTGGTTTACTTGATCCCGTCATTCTTTTTGAGAGTAAATTACTCCTTACTAACAGCACTTTTGGATGCCTTTTTTCATTTGGCTTGACAATGTATCATTCATTTTTATTTATTTAATCATCTTTAAACATACCCTTTAATCATCATTTTTATAATTGTTACTTAATTCCTTTTGAAAAGCTTTTAGGTATTGTGACACGATGTATTATTCGTCGAACTCAGGCTCTACTCACAAAATATTTACCTGTGAAAAGTATGTCGATTTGTATTTTTTGCTTCTTTTTTTGCATTATTTTGTCATCAGCATATAATGATAACTTTTCTCTTACCATATTTAGCTTCTCTTGATCAGAGTTATTTTCCTGTGTACGTTTTCTAAGTTACTATAAATCGACGTTAAATATTTTCTGAAGTATATAGCTACTTAAAGTAACGTTATGAGACCAAGTAGTTATTAGCAACAATGTCTTTATTTTTCATACATCAGTTATTTAGTTGAGTCACTTATTTATTCCCTATGGTCAAGTAGATATTATTTATATAGACTGAAATAAACACTAAACTCTCACTCTTTAGAATTTGTATTCATTTATTTTGTCGCTATTAGTCATAGTATAAAGGTGATGGACATTTATAAATTCACAAGGTAAAATAAAGCTCAGTCAGTCAGCTACAGCGTAGGACCAGGCACATATATGCATCGGTCCAAGTTGCCATACCTCGTTAGCACAATCAAAACAGCTGTTTATCCTAATTTGAGTTTTTAAAAGTAGTCTTATCGCACATCATCATGTATTCATTTGCATAATTGATCACTTATACTCTTGTTGTATTTTATTGGCTATAAATAAAGTAGAAACTCATCCTGATTTGCAAAGTTGATGACACGGAACTATTTTCCGCTTTTGGTTCTCATTTTTATATCTGTATTCACTGTTACAAGGGTTTGACTAACTTTAAGATCTACTTACTTCATAGAAATATTCACATTTCTATTTAATTTTGATGAAATACTTTGTTTTCTCCCTTATTATTCTCCGTTTCAGTCGAACAAGTAGTTTGCTGCAATTTAGTTGGAAGTCAGCGTGAAGTATATTCAGATTTTGTTAAACGAATGGCAAGTGAAGTTTCATTGAAAATGAATATTGCAGATGATTTGCGTAATGATAAGTTATCAATCTCTAGTCTGGCGTCTATAACACATTTAAAAAAGTTATGTAATCGTAAGTCCAGTAAATATTTGAAATACAATATGAAGTGTCTGTTTATGAGTAATGCAAAACGGTAATAAATATACTAACAAGAAAATAGGTATCATTACCAAGTTTCGATTTGATAATTCCCTCTCGAAATGCTCTCACATGACCACGCGTATATAGCCTCTGTCAGGGAAGTCCTACTCATTGCCTTCTCGTGGCGGGGGTGTTGTTTACGAAATTGAGAGGACGAAAAGCGAATGTCCGGCGCTTTAACCGGGTCGGTGGACATGGAACGTCCACCTAGGACAGTTGGAAAACCCTAATTTCAAACCAATGGTGCACATGGGCTCCAGTATTCTGAAGGAACGAATGGCGTATGAACCATTCGTTGGTCACCGGCTACCATGGGACTGCATCTCCTCACGATGCTCCACTGCCTTGTGGATCAGACTTTCAGGTCAAAGGCTACGTGTGTGGCTCCCTAAAAAAACCACATGCTTCAGTCTGGGCAGCCGGTTAGTATGACAGCTCTCACACAAATCAAATGAGGTTAGTGTGGCGCATATTTATCTGGTGCCCTTTTGTACCAATATTTATGCGTTTAAATAAATAAATAAATAAAAGTTACGTAATATCGGGATTAGATGTAACTTATTTATTTGGATAAAGGACTTTTTAGTTAGGCGTCAACAAAGCGTACGAGTGTGCTCGACGTTGTCTATCTGGGAAAGTGTGCTTAGCTAAATACCTCAGAGTCCTGTTTTGAGGCAAGTGTTGTTCCTTCAAAATCACATGGAGAAATTATCTAAACGGTCTCTGTTATATGCCGAAGCGATTTATGAATGCTAACTTTGAGAACTATTTATAGACCAATATGATGTGTATATTTTCTATTGTGTAATTGCTAAGTAACTTAACTATTCATATTCATGTTCCTTTTATTATGAGCTTTATTTTGACCTATAGACTATTATTATACGATTTACCATTCGCGAGTTATCCCTAGTCCTTTAGTTACTATTCCACCTATTCACAGCCACGTTTGGCTAAATCTTGGACAAATGTTATTTTCTATTTTATGGTACGATGTGGTCAGTTTTATTTGGTATATGAACCCAGTGTGTTTAAGAATAATGATTCATATTGCAGAGGCTGTTATTGGTGTTCTGGACTTAACTGGCTGGGCTGTGTTAGGCAGAAAGCAGGACTGATAAGTACTCAAGACTGCTCATACAGCTTTGGTGTATTGTTGATCCGATCGATAAATCACTGCTCTCCAATTGGCGGTCTTATCACGTTCATATATTTCACAATATTTAACATATATTTAGCACGCTAGCAATCGATATAATAGTCTCAAACTTGGTAGTTGTCGATAAATACTTCCAAGTGCATTATGGAACATATCGGTCGCCATAGTACAGATGCATACATGGTGAATAACATCCAGCTACCTGATGTCCAAACACATAATGACTTAGTAGTCATCGTTAGCCGAAACTTGAAAATTACTGCACACTGCCGTGCGATAGCCACCAAAGGTTTTAGGATCCCATGGTCAATACATAGAGCCTTTTGCCATGTTGATGCTAAAACGTTTTCGACACTGTATACAATATTCGTTCGTCCTAAACTCGAATACTACATACAAGCCTCTGCTTCAAACAAGAGAGTGAGTTTTTAGTAAAGATTCAAAAAAACACAACTAAGCTGATTCTTGGAATGGCAAAGCTCCCGTATGGTGCTCGACTGGCTAAACGAAACCTATTTCCGTTGTCACAAAGAATAACCGGAGGCGAAGAGATCACAGTTTTTAAATTACTCAATGATAAATTTGCATCTTATGCGCCACCACTTTTCTTGTTTTCCAAAACAGAATTTATGAGGACACTAAAAAGTTCGCAAGCCTAGAATTAATTACTTGTCAGCTGACGATTGACTTTCCCATCTAATAATCGACAAATGGAATCTATTACCTCGACACATGATTGAAGTCCCATTTGTCGACTCTTTCAGAAGGAGGATGGATTAACTGAGAGACCACCGTCGTCAGGACTAACACACATCACCTAGCCTGCTGTCCTTTGCAAAGCAAACATCACGTAACTAGATGGAAGGTGGTTGGGCATACGTAATACATGTTCTAACCTTCACTACCGATGAAAAGTCACTACTTCATCAACCGATTTTGCATCTTTATCTAATACATTTCGTGTATCCCTTAATATTGCTCACTTCATGGCCATAAAATAGGAATGTTTTAGACAAGTCTATCATCAACACCCAGTTATCGCTTAGCGAATATATTTCAACATAATAATTTGTTGTCCATTTTATCAAGTGTTTCATTTTATGTACAGTGCACTCTTAATTCACTCGACACTTTCTTTTGATGTAAAATTGCTGTCATAATCAGAAATATTTGCTTTTAATGTTACTTTTGTTTAGATCCAGATCTAGTATATGAGAAAATGGCAGCAAATACGGATGGCTTTCATAATGCCCTTAGTTATTTTCCAGCTAATTATCAAGGCTCACTTGAATCTAACGCTTCTGTAAAACCTGAACTATCTGGTTAGCATTTCGATTTCTGGATTTTTACTTGATTTTATTAAATTAACTGTGCTTAGATGGTTGTTTGGTTTATCGAATATTGTAGTTCAGTCATTAACTTTTACATGTATACATGATGGCTTAAACAGCGAACACTAACTAGTGTTTTTAGACTTTTAAGATAGGACCAATTGAAACATGAGTATCTTAAATTGAATAAGGTATAAATCAGAGTTATTCTCCTCAATTTTCGGAGTTTCATTTATTATTTATATGCAGTTGGTGTAGGGTAACGCGAGTTGTCGCTTTCCTCAATTTATAAGAAAGTATACGAATCAGTAGTATCTATAAAAAGTTCTACATCAGCGAACCGCATGAGTGTTTCTTAGTGAATTGAAAACGAACTTGCATTCTACTAATCATTTAATAAAAATTGACGATCTCTGGACTTCATTTCATCATGTAGAAATTCCCGTCTTTACAAACTAGTAATATCATTTTAAACATATTCTATTGTTTCAAACCGAGAAAATGGTTAATAGACACCAACGTAAACAATAAATTAGTCCCATCAACAGCCTTTGAATTGATGATGAAAAATTCAGGTTTACGCAATGCTCTTGTAGCATTTCATGAAAGACTATACCTGATTGTGGGTATTGTGTAACTTGAAGGTGAATGAAACCATCAAACAAAATTAAACCTCCTTATGTTGGTTGTTTGAATCGTCTCATTGGTGTTTAGGACTGGAATTAATCAGTCTGTATAGACATATGTGCATCCTGTTTGGATTGCCTTACTGTTGCCGAGAATTCTAAAATATTATGAGCAGATAATATTTGAATAAATTCAGCTTTGTGTATTTATTATTAGCAGATTTAGATGTTGGCTAACAGTGGAATCCAGGACGTGCGTTTCGCACAATTTGGGACTCGTCAACCGGACAGACATATGTCTGTCAGAAACAGATTGATCGACTGCAGTCCTAAACATTAGTGGGAAAATTCAAACAACCGATACAAATGAATTAAAATTCACTCCGTTGCATAAGCCGGAACAGTTCTACGCTCAAGTCCCGGAGTGGATATCAACACTTGTATGTCGATACACCAATCTGGCACGTCCTAAGTAGAACGAAATATTCCTCCTGGGTTCTGCTGTTGGCTATCATTCATCTCTGCTTAAAAAGTAAACTCATATAAAATGGGCTAGTCGAACTGAAAACGAAAACACTCGATATTCACGGTTGGTTCATCAAAGCAAGTATTTCAAATTCATAACAAGATGTATCAGCAACAAGGTTGTTCAGGAAATACTTCCAAAAATTATTTCATCCCCATTTTTTATTTCTCTAATTGTTCTCGTTAAATCCCTACATACTCTTTTTCGATCAACTTTCTCTAAACATACGAAATTGAATAAAAATTTGAAAGACGAAGTAATAAATATTATCCTTAAGATATGAGTTAAATCATGTGCTTTAGAGGATTAATAGGTTTGTAACATGGATTTCAAAATCTCTCATGTATATTAGTAGAGACTTTCATGCATGTTTTGTAAATCAGTAATTATTTTCGAATATTCGCTTGATTCTAGGTAAATTTCAAGTTCTTGACTGTCTTTTGGCCGTAATTAAGTCTACAACGTCTGATAAGGTTGTTCTTATTTCAAACTACACTCAAACATTAGATCTTTTTGAACGTTTGTGCCTTCAAAGGGGGTGAGTTTTGATTTATCTATAGTTCTTATTGTTCTCTTTGATACAAAACACTTCAAATTAATGCTTGAAAAAATATACTGAAAGTGTGAACTGTTTAAATTTATCTATTATATATTATTTTAATGATTCAGTATTCACGTCGTGCTAAAAGTTGAAGTGGTTGTCTCTTATCTGTTCAACTTATTTTTTTCGTAACAACTTGGTAGTCTTTAAGTTTCTGCATTGTTTGGTGCGTTTTGAGTCTTTCTTTACAAATTCCAATTTAATTGAGTTGAAAATTAACATCATTAACTAACTCTTGTCAGGACTACTAATATACATCAGCCCAGTCTCTGGCCTTGGTGATTCACTATGATAAGGTACATTTCACCTCCTGACCTTAATACAAATATCTGTTAGGTATAATTTCATTTGTATTATTGAGGCAATGTTAATGAACACCCTGTTGATCTTTATCACTAGGTAATAAGTTTGAATAGTTTAATTGATGTAGAATATTACTGTACTTATTTGTGCAATAATGATGTGTTTGAGCATAGGATCATAACAACTTTCTGTGTATCACAGCTATATCATTAGTTTTGTTAACTTTTTACGATTTGGGATAAGATATAAAACGAGTTTTGTGAAATGTTAGTCAGGCGTATTTATTCACGACTATTCAAACGTATAATGTGATAAGGTCTAGTTCGTATGACATAATATATTCGCCTAAACTCACAATTAAGACTTGTTAGCCTCATATTTAGTGCTAAAAAAGTTATGAACAGTTCGTTATTTTTGTAATATTTTTACTTACCTGTGAACTTTTTCAGCCGGTACAGTTTTCGTTACTTCATGGAATCATCTACATCCGTCTCTTTATTAAAAAGATTAGTTTTTTAAAGTTTATATTGTATAAAATGGTCTAACATTTTGGGAATTATATTTTCGAGTTTTTTTTACTTACAGGTATAATTTTGTACGACTAGACGGTACAATGACAATAAAAAAACGAGCAAAAGTTGTCGAACAGTTTAACGATCCAACTGTAAGTAACTTATCTAATTGCTCTATAATCCTCATAACAAACTGTTCATTGTTTGTCTGTATCTAAGTACATGAGCGTAGTTTATGATGACTTTGAAAAAGTATTTGCTGGAGATTTTACTGGTTTAGTAAACAGTTATTCTTCATCTTTGGATTTTCGATTTCTGTGTTGTTTTGTAGTTTTCCTTTCACCCAATTTCATTCATGCTTTTGAATTAACTTTACATAAAACAATTGATACTGCAACTAAATAGGATGAGTATATTTGTAAAATCTCAGCGAATGAATTTGAAGTAAATCCAACGTTTCGCCTGACAATCTGGGCCAAGTTTTTTCAAGGAAATATAATCAAACATCAAAATTATCGAAAATAAATAAGTACATGGTTCTTCGGTTCATCGTACACTGAATAGGTCACCCAATCAACGTTAAAAATGTTTAAACTATGCATATGTATTAATGTGTAAGAGACTTGTGATGTGAAATGATAAATGTTAAGATAACATATTGTATATATACGTAAGTGGTGAGAGGAGACATTTCATTCACAATATATTGTCTCCTGTCGGTGAATTTTTAAGAAAACATACAATTTTAAGACATTAAACAGGAATTATATATTTGTAAGATCTCAGCGAACGGATTTGAAGTAAATCCAACGTTTCGCCTGGTCCGAGTTTTTTCAAGGAAATATATATTCGTTTTATAAAATCCTTCGGATAATTATTCATCATTAGAGTGGATGTAATTGAGTTCATTTCCATTACTATATCATTTGGTTCAGTGAGAAGTTTTTGAGCTCTTGTGATCATATGTTTTCAGTTTTCTAGGAGACTTATACAGACAAAAAGAAGGTGTAGTTATGAGATCACCGGTTTCCCCAATTAATGAAAAAATCAAGTTCACCAAAGAGTTGAAATCTCCTGAACACAAAATACCTTTTCTAGACTGTTTGATTGAATGGAAATATAATGATTGTTTGAAAATTAGTATTTTCCGAAAGCCGACATATTCAGCGAAATATTTAGACCTTAAGTCGGCACATCCATTCTCGACCAAAGTGACAGTGGCCAAAAATATGATCACAAGAGCTTAAAAACTTGTCACTGAACCAACAACTTAGTTAACAGTGTACTTGATTGCTAAGATGCTTAAGATATTTATGTTCACAATTATATGTTTGCCTTTTTTTGACTTAAACTTCTTTTATGTATATACATTGCTAACCAACTGTCTAATTCACTTTTGTATATTTCTAACAACGACATCATTTAGTGAAATTCAATCATTTTTATGGTGGTGCATTCCCTAAACTGGGCAGTTTAATAATGAAACCGTTAGTGTTTCTGAACAACATCTATACGAACTTCTGATAGATGTTAGAATTTCCGTACGTATGACTAACAACTTGTTCTGTTGAACTTGAATTTGGTTTGTAAGTATCAATGCCAAGCTTGGACTTGATAGTTTCAGATAAATTGAGCATTGGGTGAAAAGTTAATAAAAAATATTTTTTTTGTTATTAGTAGAAAAATTGTATTTCTGACGTTTCTCGACTTAATGAAGACCACTTCTTTAAAGTAATTAAATAGCCGAAATAATAGTACAAAGGAAGCAATGCAGAATATTTTTAGTTCAATCAAAGTCATAATAGGTCTGAATATGTCAATGCCAAGTTATTTTTGGTCAAGGTGGATTTGTATGACTAGTGATTGTATTAATTCGTGCGTCAAAATGTAGGCATGAAAAGTGAAAAATGTTATACATTTGTAATATGAAGTAGTGGGGTTGTAATTAGGTGTCTGTGTGTGTGCAGATTGTGTGGAAAATAAATAAGGTCGAATTTGGTTCTTCGGATAAACATTTCATGTTGGATGAACATTCAAGCCTTCTTTCCTATTGATGGTAAAGGGATTCAACATTATATGGAACGCTTCGGCTACTCAGCTCTCTTTATATTTGGGAAAGCCTTTCTGAATTGTTTTGATATTTTTAATATCATTTTGGTGATTACTGAAAGTAGTATGTACTGCTATTGATGATTTATTCTGTAGATTATCGAATTCTGCAGGATTATTGGGTCTTCTTGTGTAACTTAAGCGTTCTTTGTCACTAATTGAGATCTCATGGGAAGACTCTCCAATATACAATACATCACAATCAACACAACCTTATTTGTAGATATAATTTTGTGTAGAAGTCAACGGTATCTTTAATTCAAATAACGCGTTTCTTAGTGTTATTTGTCTTATAGAAAGTTTTGATTTTGTACGTTTTCAATATCTGTTGTAATTCTTCTGTGCTATCTTGGCGGTAAGGTAAAACCACCAATACAAGATAATTCATTAGGATTGTTATTTACAGAAGGATATTTTTGTTTCAATATGTTTTGAATAATATTTTTAGAAAAGTTAATAAATCGTAGTGCGTTTATTATATTCACTTTTTCTTTTAGTTTGTCTTATTCTGAAGTAATGATCCTGAATGCTCTTCTGAAAAGATTCAAGGCTAGGGAAAATTTCGCACTGAGTTAAAATCAATATACTGATTTGAATATGTTGGTTTTCAGTATATGGCTAGATTTAGACTATCATTAGCATTCTTTTTAACTAAATAATCCAAGAAAGTTAGCTCACTATGTTCATCTTCCTTTTCAAAAGGAAATTTGATGTGTTCTGAAAGTGTGTCTATGTATTTAGCGAAAAATTTCTAAGAGGAGTCTTTTTTTATAATGACAAATGTGTCGTCTACATAACTGAGCCAGTTGCGTGGTCTAATGGTGCTGGCAAAAATTAGAGACCCAACTTGGGACATAAATAAATTTGCAACATTCGGAGATACTGAACATCACATAGATATCCCACTCGTTTGTTTATATAATGTTTATATAACGTCATCAATAGCATTGAAAAGCGTTGATGTCAACAGTACAATCTTTATTGAGTCTCGTTTGTTATCCAGAAGACGAGGTAAGTTTTGAAATTACATCACACAGTCCAGAGATTGTAACTCCACGCAAATCACCTTCATGAGCTACAAATCTAATGGAAATCAAATCTAGTTAATTATTGGTGCTATTTGACTGAGTGCTTTTTACTTATGTTTTTTTTCATTTCCAGTCTCGTGATTTTGTCTTTATGCTGAGTAGTAAAGCTGGTGGCTGTGGTCTTAATTTAATTGGTGCTAACCGTCTTGTTATGTTTGATCCTGATTGGAATCCAGCTAATGATGACCAAGCAATGGCACGTGTATGGCGCGATGGTCAGAAGAAACAGTGCTACATTTATCGTCTTATTTCGGTAGGCTTTTATCGTTTATTAACACACCTGAACTAGTTATTACGTTATTTTATTTGATTGAGTTAAAGACGGTGCTAAGTGATACTGCTGCACTGCCATCCTAACTAACATTTTGCTGTCATAGAATATTTTAACTGAATGGGTATATTGCCATAACATTAGAAACAAATTAGTATGAGTGGTTTGAATTGGATTTTTGAGGTTTATCGCTTGCATCGCGGACTAACATTGATTAAAAAACCATTGATTACCACAAAGCAGTGGTTAAATGTTTCATCCTAGTATAGGACTGTTATGTATTTCGCATCTGCGACTTCGTCGGAGATGGTATCCACTATCTCCGGGTATCTGTAACAAAACCTGAAGATCTAGCTAAGATCATTTTGTGATATAAACTGTAAACTTGGGGAAATAGTTGTTTTTCTCTGAGGCTTTTACATCTATTCAATTATATCAGTATTCCGTATGAATATCTTTTAAAATAAAACATGTTATTCATTGTTTACTTTTACAATTATCATGAAATTTTAGACGGGTACCATTGAAGAGAAGATGCTTCAACGTCAAGCGCATAAAAAAGCTCTTAGCAGTTGTGTAGTTGATCAACAGGAAGAAGTCGAACGTCACTTTAGTATCGATGATTTAAGAGAGCTTTTCATGTACCATTCTGAGACGTTATCGGATACTCATGATAGGTTGGTGCAATTAATATTATTTATAAGTTTGAACTATTTTGTTATTTTTAATTGTATTGTATTTATTGTATTGTACACTTTTACCTCTAATTCAGTCCAAAATATACCGTTGTGATGCTAGTGTTTGCACATATCTACTGTAATGTTTAATGAGTGATGTACTTGAAGTTCGTATAAAGGATCTGTTTACTATTGGCACGGCTTCCGAGAACTACGATGGAGCCGGAGAGTTACCTCCCGATCAGAATGTGATGGAGCTTTCTGAAATACCAACGTGGCATGCCACTATTGGATAGTAGCATGACATGCGTCTTTGCGAATTGGTTGATTTATAGTGTTGATATAACAAATGCTAATATCCATAAATGCCCATAATTTTCTGTACATTTTGATTTTTACCCAACAAACACATCCCCACCTCTGTTCTGTCTTCTGGTTTTGCGACTACAAGGTTCGAGTGTCGTCGTTGTATACCGTATTCCGCGTTAATTAAGTAGCAAACGTAACACTGGCGACAGAGTGTCACAATAAAAAATGTCAAATACTCTTGAACAAGTAGAATATTTGCTTGAACGTCAGGTAAAACGGTATGAACAATCCAAATTGCGTATCCTGGAGATGCTAACGCAACAAATGAATCTTAGTCACGCAAGACTTACTGATGATTCATGTAATTCACCTACCGATTCCATCTATAAATTTAATTTTCATGGTTTTGCTGGTATTATTTTTGAATCCTAGTTCAAGAAATACGAAGATTTATTCAAGGTTGACCTCAAAAAACTTGCTATAAGCGAAAAGAAAGATTCCTGCTCAAGAAAATTATGGAGCACAGACAACCAGCCCTCATCTCCACGTTGGTCATTTGGAGGTTGGCACTACAAGAGGTTCTGTCGATATAAAGAACATTGTTGCACTTAGTGTCATTGCAAGGGTCATGAAGAAGCCAGCTGCAGAAAAAAACTCTCCGACGTTATTCTTCGAAATTCTATTTCAAGAAATACAGACCTAATACGATATCTCACAAAATATTGGGATCTCATAACAGAACACGAATTCACCGCCGAAAATTATTATGAAATTTGGATATTTATAAACAACGTACTCATCTTCAACTGGATACAGTATCTGATACCACTCCCATCAGCCCAGAAACTCGGAGGAATATTGGGAGACCCACAGTTAATCCAACAACACAACTAGCACAAGTGCATCTGATGGGAAATTAAATATTTCGATAATGTAATAAGAAGACGAAGATTATCAGAACTATGTGATAATCTTCGTCTTCTTATTACATTATCGAAATTTATCAAAGGGACTAATTGCTTTAAATTAAATATTGTTGGAGAAGTACCCTGCACTATTTCTAAAGGTAATGTGACAACGAATGCAACATAGTATCTTACAAGGAATCCAGCACTTGACTTGTTGGAATTAGATCTGATAGATACACTAAAGCTAGTAGAGCATTCGATTAGCATCATCTACAACCGAATCAGAACTGACAAGCCCTTAGAGTGGGACCAGAAAAATGCCGTGCTACAAAGACACCACCATGTGTTTACAGAAGGATTGGGAGAATGTACGAAAGCCAATGCACTACTAACCCTCAAACATGAAGCTGCTCTTATTTTTCTACATAAGAGACATGTGCATTATGCTGCCCTTTCATTAGTTGACTGGGAATAAGAACGGCTTCAAAAAATAGGTGTTATTTAATCTGTGAACTTCTCAGATTGGGCTGATCAAGAAGTCTAATGGCGACCTTCGCTTGTGTGAAGGTTACTCCACCGGACTAAATGAAGCTCTAGGGTCTCACTACTATCCTTTACCCTAACTTGAAGATCTCTTTGCCAAGCCGAACGGTGGCAGGTATTTTGCGAAATTGGATTTGTCAGACGCAAATTTTCAAATCCCTGTATCTGATGGAAGCAGAGATCTCCTAACGTTCAACACGCACAAGGGTCTGTTCCGACATAACTGACTGCCTTTTGAAGTGAAAACGGTGCCCTCTATGTTACAGCAAACTATAGATACCATGTTACAAGGTATTCTTGGAGTAGCAGTTTATTTATGAATGCAGACAAAGTGGATTTACAGAACGAACTGTATCAGGTGCTAGAACGCCTAGCCGAATGTTGTTTTCAGCGGAAAAGTGTGACTTATATGCAGCAGGTACGGTATCTTGGTTTCATAATCGATAAAGATAGAAAACGACCAGCTCCACAAAACACTGAAGCTGTGAAAACTGTGTCTACATCTAGAGACATCCTTATCCTAGAATCTCTCTTGTGATTGGTCAGTCATTATGGAAGCTTCCTTCCTGATCTCCATCGTCTGCATGCTCCACTAAATAGTTACATCAAACAAAAGTATTGTTTTTTTTTAATGACAAGACAAAAGTATGTAAATTTTAACCATGTAAACTTTCGAATGTTGTAGGTAGTTTAGGAAATTGTTTGTGTGTTGTCGAAAATGTAACAGGTTGTAAAAATAAAGTATCTACCAATTATTGTAACTCTGTCGTTCTAAATTTCTCCAGTAATCTAGAAGAAGAGATATGTTACTGTAAAATCTAATTTTATGAAGTTGTAGCAGTCAATGTTTGAAAGACCTCTTGTTAATAGAAATGAGTAAGAGGAAGAATTGCATTTACTCTATTTTGTGGATATTTATCCAAAAGTTTGTGCTTGGTGAAATTGAAATATAAAATAAATAATATTCACTCGTTCAAAGCTTAACTTTCCGTGCATTATCTATCAAAATCTATCTTTTCGGGCTTAATCATTTTTGCACACAGAATGTGTTTGAGTATGTTACTTCTGTTGTAATAACTTATATTCCTTAATCCATTAGCCGCAATTCATATTTTTGTTTGAAATTTCCCCTTTGATTTTTATTTGACTGCATATACCGTTAGTTATTGTTAATAAATTTTGTTTAATGCTTATATAGTTTATGTCAATAACCAGTCTTAGACCACCATTCAAAATCTGGAAACAGTAGAATGTTGTTTCGTTTTATTACGGGACCCTGGTGTGACTAATGGAGTTCAACCATGTTGATATATGGGGTAGTTATATCTACCACATGTGATGGATGAGGGTTATGCTAAATCCTGAATTGGTTGGAGTTGGATATTAACACTGTTGGATTTCAGTTTAGTGGTTTAAAGATCAAGCATCCATGTGTAAGACTAAGAGTCCTAGATTCGACCCCCTGTTGTGCGGCGGTGGGTGCGTAGTGCTGAAGAGTCCCACGCTAGGAGGTGACGACCGTCCATTGCTCTCAGATTGTAAACGCTAGTCTAACTAAAACTCAGTCTGTGTAGAAAGTGTATTCTCCACAAATCCTTCTATATTATTAGTATTTATAGACCAACACTGTTTCACTACTATTTGTGATTTCTCATTCTGCATTCCTTTTGACTTAACGAATTGTCATGTCATGTGAACTTCGTTTACACTCTCAATAGGTAGATTTATGTAATTGGTGGTTCTATTATTCGTCGTAAGTTTGTGTTGTAGGACAAAATAGTTATTACTGACATTATTGTGAGGTTGTGATACATTAATTAGCTCTCCAGAAACCTACTAGTTGAGATCATTTTCATCTTTGACCCAATTGTTTGATACCGACTACTAAACTTAATGCTGGTAAAAGCCATCAAGTAGAAATGTTTTTCAATATTGTTTTACTCGGAAGTATATTAGAAGTTCTCGTAATGAATATTGCATAGTGAAAAGTAGTTAATATTTTATCTGTGAGATATTTTCTAATCAAAAAATTTTTGTCAAGTTTATCAACTTCAGTATTCCTGAGCTTCTAACACTACCGGAAGTACAAGGTTTTTTTGAATTATGTTTCAGATTCAAATGCCGTCGTTGTGTCAATTCTGTACAAATAAAGCCTCCACCAGAAGGAACAGACTGTAATTCAGATTTTTCTCAATGGAATCATTGTTATACAAAAAAGGCGTTAAATGATTCAGTGCTGAAAGCAACTTGGGATACTGGTTGCATATCATTTGTATTTTGGCATTATTCTCATGAAGAACAACGTAAAACTGTATAGTATTTTTGTTCTAGTTGGTTGTAATATGTGATTGATTTTCCTGATTTTTTTATTGGTTCTCTTATGGTATGGTGAATTCAATTTTTAAAATTTTCTTATCTTTGTATTCCGTCTGAAGACACTAGGACTGTTCTTGTACTTCTTTTACAATACCACACGTTTTGCTTATCTATGCTCTCATAACTGTTTATCTCAATATTGGTTAGTATCTAAACTTAACTAGCCCAGTCAATAAAAATAACTAATCAACTACGATTATAATTGATTATCATGTTTCTTTGGCGAGCCTTCTGTATCAGCCTTTACAAAATGACTACGTTATCTTCATCTTCGAAATTGTAGTTGCACTGGTGATTACCATTTCTACTGATGTTTACTATGCAGTTCGCATTCGCTTTTGTCTCACATAGTAACTCATGATTCGACTTTATTAGTATACGTTTGTCAACTTAGTTTCTTTTTCAGTTTATTTACATGCAATACATGTTTGCAGATATTCACATGGCATCTAGAATTTTCCGCTGGTCATATGCATTTGTATCTGCACATCCAGCTATGGAACTTATACAGCTCAAATTAACGTTTATCGCAACTTTCAGCATATAAACAACGTTATTTTACTGTGATATTATAGCATACATCCGAACTAGTATATTTATTCAACTTTGATGTTGCTATTTGCGTATTTTACTCACAATGAGCTAAACGTTGACCTTACCAGTGAGTGATCAGTCATTTTCGTTTCATGATGCTCAATCAAACAACGTAACCTATCATTAAAGTGCTAGTTTGGCATACATATTATGTAAGCAAATACAAAGACGTAAATGGTCTGAAACACCTGGAACAGCACCGACTGTTTTTGATGCACTAGCGGTTCACTGAAATTAAATGGGCTAATTCATCATCATTATGTGTAAACTTTTGGGACCTAACAACTAATAAGTGTGGTGTGTTCAACAGATGCAACTATCAAAGCAAACTTCCCCAACAACTGACTTATATAATTGTTCTTTGCATGAGGTATTGTTTCCTTGTGGTTGTTAACTAACAGATGGTTTCGATTATATATCGGCTGTTCAAATACTCGACGGTTTGCCTGTACAGTTCAATTGGTGGTCTGGCGACACGGTCATTTAAGCGAATCTCCTGCCAACTAAAAACGAATTTGTCGCCTCTATCCGAACACCAATATCACTGACAAGAGTCCAGAGTAACACTCTTGGTTCCTTATGTTCTTTTCAATCATTTTCAGTTTAGTTATTGGACAAATATGCAGCATTCGCCATTTATCATCCTATAGAGACAACTTCGTGTCACTTATATTTGCGATCTGTAGTCTGTAATCTTTACTGTTTATTAAATCAACTATCAGTTTTGAGCCCGCTGACTACTAAGTGATCAACTTCGTACGATGAAGTCACTTCTTTTCATGGTTACACTTTTGTATATATGTAATGTTACTACAAGGAACGGATTTACAATTTGTCGTATAGTGTTTCAGACCACATCGGGCTCACCTTTAAGTTTGTTGTGAATAATCGGAGTTTGGCATCATACCTTTGTGATCGAAAGATTTCAAACCCAGTCAAATTAGAAGTTAGAAAAGGAGTCTAGTGATGTATTTGGAAACTTATCGATTTGTTGAGAATCGTTTGATCTGAGCTGGCTAAATGTTGTCAGGGATGCATAGCTCGAGGTAACTGATGGTAATCTGACGAGCATTATTCTGCATTGATAAGACCAAACTAAATCGCCTCCTGTTACCAATTCTGATATTCACTTCGGTTTTATCGATTGGTTTCCACTTATGTTAATCCATTATTTGTTTGTTGATTATGCCTCTCGTATATTGATCAGTATTCATAGTCAGCTTACTAGCTCGGTCGTTGCTGTAGTTATGATGGTTCATTAATAATCTTGAGTGGTACTTACAACCTTCACTGAGATAAGTTTATTGAAACATCAACTACTAGCAGACATGGCGCTTAATTGACGTAAATACACTTAAGGTGACAATTAATACAAGCAAGGGCTGCGTAGTTATCTGGATGTAATTTGCAGAGGATTAATTCCTCTCTTTTTGACTCCAGTAAATAAATAACATCCCGTTAACCAAATATTTAACTCAGGCTACATTTAGTAGAAGTACGGGTTTACTGTAGATTATTCAAATGCTCGAACACTAGTTATAGAGATAATTTATTGTTAATGCTTTCTAAATTCCGCAAGCGTATATATAGCAAGTACACAGGGAAAACATGTATGTGTGTGTAAAAATCCATATACATTTATGAGTGTTAAGGGACTTTAGATTGGTTGTTCATTGCTTACAGCCAATGAGATAATAGATTAATGGTTGGTTGTATAATTGCTGGTAATGATTTGAGGCACGTTCTTTAACACTCTCATAGTCAGGTGTTGTATTTCCTGCGAGAGATCGCAAGCGCGTTAGGTGGTCGCCCGGTTAATTATCACCCATGGGGTGACGTGCTAACGAAGTCCTCAATCGTTCCTTCCTTAACGGGAAGAATTGTATAAGGAGTGCTTCCTTTAGACGATCGAACATTTGAATTGAGGACGACCTCATGGACAGAAGTTAAGTGATTCCCAGGCAAAGACTCCAAAGTGTAGGCGTACTTTTGCCGTTGGTTCTTTATGTGGCAGACCTCAATTCGGGACTCCACTGCAGCGAGCCAAACTTCTGAATCGTGGGAAATAAAGGGAACCAGTCGAAAACTAATCGCCTGTACTTCTGAATCTATTATGATAATGCTATTCCTATGGTTATCCACCATATTGAGTTGTTGCCAAAGTATTATATATTGAAAAATAATACGTATACGTGCAACAAGACTGGATAGACAAATAGTAGACTCCTCGTTGTAATCTTCTTTGAAAGATTTCCCAAAGGTTGAAATGTGTTCTGAAATTCGGCTTACCAGATGTGAATGGCGTCGAGTCGCGATTGACTATGATCACCACTACAATAAGATTACGCGCTAGATAACGACTTGAATCCCTCGATAGACTGAAAACCAGAAGGCTGTAATCGGTCCAGATATGATATATTTATTGGCGATCTCGTGATATCGAATGAATACCGAGATGTGCCAAGGAATTCAGGCAAAATGGCAGGGCGTAAGAAAGTTCGCATGGACAATGGAACGAAAAATAATTTTGATACAGTTAAACAAAAAGAGTACAGTAAAACTATCACTGGCACAATCGGTTATAATAATTGTTTCCATTATACCAATCGTTAAAAGTAGGTCACGACAAACTACTTGCAATACTCTGAAAACAAAAATGTGAAATAAAGGCGAACTATATGAAAATTTCAGGGAAAAATCCCAAGTAAAAGTCGATGTGAATATAATCGACAGTGCAAAGAAAGGTCACCTTCCAACCTGGATCATGTAATTTTTTTGATAAACATTCCACATTGAGAGAAAAGGTTTTGATATTAACACTTTTATATTCTCCAAAGTCTCCACTTTACTCAAATTTGACACCGATTTTTCCAGTGTTACACAAGATTGTCGTTTTTCAAAGTATCGACCAGTCAAATAATTAATTTTCATCAGACTTAAATTACTAATGTACTGATTACTTCGAAAGTTATCTTTTAATTCCCATGTTTAAAATAATGTGTGCGCTCGACAATAATAAGCATAGTGGTAGGGTGTGACCTACTTTTGAGACGAGAACGCGATCGGTGTAACTGGAACAATTATTATTACAACCAATTGTACCAGTGAGTGTTTTCACTTCTTGAACCCTTATGCTTTTAATGTTATTATGACTTTTAAATACCGCCCACAAATCACACCCTGCAGTTCCCTTGTGAATAATTGTACACCTTACTTTGGCACGAGCAGGTGCGTCGCTGATTACAGCAATTACTTTGACTATATTTTTTCCTAAACTAAAGCAGCCAAAGTGCTTTCTGGCAATTCTGTTAGTTCAGAAATAACGTCAACTAGAAAATTATTAAAATCAGTAGGTTCATTACGTCCACCTAAAACGACAATTAAAAAACCATTTTGGAAGCAATAGTAATGTAGCGGCAAATAAATCCCCAAAATCAATAGATTTGTCTTTGTTCATCATTTGGTGCTGACCACATTAGTTTAAATTGACTAACTTGGTTGTAGTCGTTCGGTCATGCATCCGCACCAGATCACGAGTTGGAAAGCCGTGCTTAACCTCTTCTGTGGTCACTAGCCAGTTTAGATCAGCTACTCCTCGATATATTGATAATCTATCAAATACATCTTCCAATCTCCTTACTTCTGACTTTTGATAGTTGTTGTTGGTAAAGTGTCGTCAAACTACAATACCTGTGGTATCTTCAGTGGTGACACCGTCATGATCTGGTGCACCAATCTACAAACTGTTAATCTGTTCCTTTCTGAAATTCGACAAATCGCTGATTTATTTTAATTTTTTATATATTGTGATATTTCTCTCGCATTTTCGATTATGTTTTCCCTCGTTCATCCCTATATTTTAAATTCGTCGCGACGGAACAGACTCCTAAGCTACTTAAGACCAATATTCTTACACCACACTCGTTTCAGCTAATGCTTCTTTTGGCCGGACAACATCAAAGCTTGGTTCTGCTATACAGAAGCCGATTTCTATGAGCACGGTATAACTGATCCAGGCGCACACTTCCTCGCGGTTGTAAAGGCACCATAGCGCGAATTCAATAGGTACGTCACACCTAGTATGCTTAACAGTGATGTATCGGAACATTACAAAACTATCAAATGGCCCATTCTGAAACGCGAAGATCTAACTGATCGTCAAATGTTGGATTAACTGCATAATAATATCGACCTGCAACATGGTTTTGTGACTGGGACAGAAGTTAGGGTTCTTCCTGCAAATTTTAACTATTGGTTTCAAGAACCGGTTTTAAACTTACAAGCAGCAAACGGAAAGCAAATCGCCACATTGGTAAAGGGTACGTCTACCTTAACGTGGGTTTACGCAAATCCATTCACTAGATCTTCGTTGTTGAAGATATTTCTATGCCAATCATTGGTAAAGACCTCCTAAAACATCACAACCTACTCATTGATAAACGCAAAGGAAGGCTAGTAGACGGAAACACTTAGTTGTCAACTTGCGTGACTTCTTTTCCCGGTTTTAGATTATCTTCAGTCACAATTAAGCACACAATAGATCCATTCTATCGACCATTACTCGATTAGTACTCTGAGGTATACCAACCGCAACCGAAATTGCCGTGTGTAACCAGCAATGTAAATAAACAGAACAAACTATTTATAATATGCTCATATATGTTTGGCTTTTTTATTGCAAATAAGACAAAATCATTTTTTATTGCTTATATGCTTGCTTATATGTGTATATATTTGTACAAAAGCAACAAAAAATTACATCCTATGGAAATTCTTTCTTCGCTATTCCATGTTTACGAAACACATTTATAAAAGTTTAATTTCTTTTTATAGCCTATTATATGTTTATACGCACTTTCTAGTTTGATTCGACCTTCACATATGTATAGACGTTTTTCTTTTCCAGGGCGACATTTTCATTGCCTTCGCTTTGCATTACTACGTTGTACCACATGGACCCTTATAATAAGGGGAGATGACCAGGAGCTTTTGAACGTAACGAGCTATCAGAACAGTGGTTACCGAAGGAAAACTCATTGACTTTAAACATGTGGCTGGCAGCATCTTAGGGCCATCACTACCCAATTATGGCGGAGCTGAGCTGTAGTGGTAAGTCAATCCCCAATATCAATAGCTCTGTGAGTCTTCAGCATTTCTTCTAATTAAACTCATCTAACTGAAGGCGCCCGGTCACACGTCTGCACCAGACCACGAGTGTGTACGCCATATCACCCGCCACTTTCATCTGTTAGTCATCTTAGACCAAACGTTCTTTGATATACTGATAGCTTTTCAAATATAACTTATAAACTCTTCACTTCTGATTTGAATGTGTTTGTATATTTTGACTATAAAAGTATTGCTGGTCAAGAACTTGTCAAACTCTAAGTATTTATGGCACCTCAATGCATTTTCCGATCACCACATGCCCTAGCTACTCAAAAAATAACGGAGTATATGTAAAGTTTATCACATTCTATCAGCAAATATTTATACTCTGGATATGTAAACACGCTTTTTGCGACCATCACACTTGTTTTCGCTTGATTGGTAAAGGAAAGAAACTTCATGTAATTGTCGAAAATCTGCTAAATAGACAGTTGTTAAAGTAGTATATAGGACATTTACCTGAAACTGGACAAATATATGCTAATGTACACAATCCTTTATTCCTTGGCTGGTTTATACTTTGAGACACCTTGTATAATAGAGAAGCCGGTGCTTATTATTCCAACATTTGATTGTGAAATCTCGTTAATCTCATGACAAATTGACCACATTGTTTTAACTCAGACTATTTCGGACAACTGTCACCTGTCTACAATAATCAATCTCATTTCATTACCAAATGTCAATATCAATATTTTGATGATTTTAATTTAAAAAGCCATACATTTGAATGAGTTTTCTCAATCACTCTATAATATTACACATTTCTGCCACTTGCTACCTTCACAAGAATCTCAGGAGCCTAAAGAATGAAATTTCCGGACAAGAAGAACTTAAGTACTACGTAGTAGCGATTAGATGTTTGCTTACTCTTTTGTGAAGTTACACATAATTGTATATTTTGCGCATGAGCCCGATTCATTTACTGGAATACAATACTTAAGTGGCTTATGAATCTTTCAAGAGAAAGCAATATTGACAATTCATCAAGAGTTATCGTCTGAAGCGGATACATAGTAGTTACGACCGTGAAGAAAGCTAGTATCACCACTACTAGTTTATTTCTGGTATAAAGAAAGGACAGAATAGTTAAAACCATCCAAAAGAGGGGGGGTTGAACATAGTGTGGGCAACTACATGCCCTTGAAAAAATCGTGTTGAAATAGTCGACCAGAATAAACGAATCAAACCATTTGAACTCTGATCTAAGAGTTGAAGGAAGTACTATGATGCCTCATGGTCAAAACACAGATTCTTCGGAATTCATCAGGTCCATACCCCTTCCAATAACAAGAGTGACAATCATTATAGGTATATTGAATATCGAGACAATGTGGGAGATCGGGAAGACCAGTCAAATGGCAACGGAAATCTGGAGATACAATTTGGCAGTACTCAGAATCAGTGAAACCCATTGGACCACAGCTGAACAACAAAGGCTGGATACAGGAGAGATGCTGCTGTACTCTGGTTACAAAGAAGAAAATGCTCCACACACTCAGAAAGTTTCTCTATCGCTGTCCAAAGAAGCACATCATGCACCTACAGGTTCCAAGATCATCAAATCATCCTTCAAAACAAAGAAGAAGGGGATTACAATATATGTTATCCATTGTTATGCACCCATCAATGATAGCAACGACGACGATAAAGATCAGTTCTATGAGAAACTGAAATCAGTCATAGCGACATCGCCTAGAAAATCAGAGAACTACAACAATATATATATAATCAGTCTACTGCACACCACAATCTTCAGTCCAGAGTGTGACTCTCACAGATGTTTAACAAATTACTATCAACTATCTGTTCGAAAGTCGCCTAATTATCAGTATTTTCACGTATTAAAAGAATTTTTCATAACAGTTCATATGTTTTAGTAGCACTGGTAAATCCTATCGCGGCTAAGAAATAAAGAAGCCAGTTTAATGTTGTCGCAACTTAATAAGCCATATCAAATTTCACAAATTGAAACATTCGTCTCCACTGTTACTAACAATCTGAATGGAGACTCATCAAACAATATGTTTGCTATAACTTGTTGCCTGTTGCTCCCTATCAATATATAACTTAATGATACAGCCAATTAGAGAAGAGTGAATTATTGTCCGGTTCAATGGCGCATAAAACCAGCACGAGCATTCTAGAATCACTACCGGTCCTGCTTCATGCTTAGCTCTGCCCGTTAAGTCCATAACACCAATGACAGCCTCTGCGATGTGAATCATGTACTTCAAACATACTGGTTTCGCATGCAAACCAAACAGACCACATTTCATCAAAAAATAGAGATCAACATTTATGCAGTATTTGACCAAAAGTGGCTGTGAATGTGGGAGACAGTGATTAATAGACTGGGCATAACTCAAAAACTATAAATTGTATAATAAAAGTCCATGGGTCGAAATGAAGCTTTTAACTATAGGAGAATGAACATGCATATTTTAGTGTGTACTGTATTGGTCTATTAATAGTTCTGAAAAGTTATCAATCATAATTCTTGTCAGTATATAACTGTTTTGTCGTAAACCACCGACTTAGGTGGTCAGTGGGAATGATTGGGAGCCTACTCGTGTTGTATGTAAATTGTGTGACATTTCATCACTTCGTGGTTATAAACTGACGTGAAACACCCCTGTGTCGTATCTAGGCACTGTGACTACTTCGATGACCACATAGCTATGACGATCAGTAGCATCTGAATTATTGTACGATTTAGGAATCCTAGGAATAACGTAATTTAGACAAAGAACTACGTTAGCACAAACGGAAATATTTTATTAAATATCCGAAATCAGGCAGTCATCAAGTACAAAGTATTGAATAGTTCATAAAAACACCACAATAGCGTAAACATAGCATTATTACACGTATGTATTGGTAATAATAGAGAGAGGAGACGGTGCTACCACTACCACATAGGCAAGTCTATAAAGTGTGATTTACTGATAGGCGTCCGTGACTCACGTTGTTGACGCCAATCGGTAAGCTGTTTGGTACCTGTGATTTGACTCCTGGGTTATCCAGCTAGAGCCTAGTGATATTTCACTTGTTCTACAGAGTTGTACTTGAAGTCTATTTGTTCGAGGAAACTAAATAATAAAACGAAAAATATCATCACATAACGAAGAACTGATGGTTGCGATTGAATTGAAGCGTGTTGTTATTAATGCTCGCTATAAGCGATATCACTGTGATAAAAGAGGAACAAGTCGTTAAAGGTTGAAAGAAACATTGCACTCGGTTGAAATTATGAGCTATTGAACTGAGGATTACTTAGTAGACTCAGCAGATGAACACAATATGTGCATTACTCAGGGATAAATTCATGGTGCGAGACAGAGTTTCTTCATCCAGCAGCGTCAGTATATTAAAATTTAATGGCGTCTTCATTACAGTTCAAATGATAAAGATAGGAGACAAGTACAGGATAATACAAACAGGCAGTTAGTGTTAATCAATGAGGATGTACTAGATAAATTAAAAGAATTAGAAAAAGAATTACGATGGTTTTCATTGGTGAATTCTCTAAATCAATACCCACTTTTTAATCAGTCACTAGTAGCTTCAAATTAGTTCTCCGGAAACATTCAAATGCATCAATTATAGTGCAACGGTGTTTCGAATTTGACTTAATTGTAATGTGTCATATTAGTGAACTGAAATATTCCAAACACTGTTTAAGTAGCTTTAAGGGAAGAGCAGGTTTTTAGTCACTAATAAGTCAGAAATTTACCATTCAACTGAACATGTTAGTTCGATGAATGAATAGGAACGTTCACCTCTGTATTGTTTTAATTTCCTAAAAGTAATTTATACAATTTGACCTCATGTGTGTGATAAACTGAATTTTGTGGATTTATCGCGCAAAGTACAGTGATGTCCGACAAAGATTTCCCGTTGCAAAAAACCTTGCCTATCAGTGTAAGGGTCATTTTTCAATGTTTTTCGATAATTTTATGTTTCCTTGAGAGTATTTCAATATTCTGAAACAGGTTTTATCCGCTCCTGTATTTTCAGTTTAATGAAAGTTGCGATAAAAACGTGTGATATTAGCAAATGCTCATTCACTTACGCGTTTCCCATTTATTTTATTCGCTAGAAGATACTATATAAAACGTTTTTGTGATGGTAATTTTTCATGTCTTCAAGATATACCGAACACTTCGGAAGTATATATCTGTGTGAAAATCAGTGTCATGTAACTGTATAATGCACACGGTGTATATTATATGGTGATATCTGATGTTCACCTCTCTTAATATTTATTCAAGAAAGAGCGTAGGAATTATGGACATATATTGGAAAACTACTCCCAGGACATATTTTTTATCTTTAGGAAAATAATCCAACAACCTCATGTGATTTCAGACCCATTTTTCGGACATTTCATCTCTATCTGAGTGATTTGTTTGTACATAATAATAACAATAATTAGACCAATAGGCCAAGAAATTATTTCGTCTGTATCTCTTAATCGGAGTTGTGTGACTCTCAAATTAGAAGTGTGGTATTACACTAACAACCCATGCATACATAAAAGACTATTGGTTGATAGAAAAAACTTCGAGAAGAAGAAGCACTTTCAGTCACATGCACATGTGAAGGAAGACGAGCCTTTCAAATTAGGTAGTAAAGAATTAGTAGATTGACGTTTATAAAGAATGGATTTCTTAAAATACCCTTATTTCCTGACCGGATACTTTAAGCAGGCTAGAGTCATTAAAACAATGACGCCAAAGATTAATCTTGAGCACCAGGTGGATTATCTGCTTAAAAGAGATTCTTAACATAAAAACGTAATTTTTCACCAACTTTACCGTAACATTACTAATGTTATCACAGTTTTAAACAAAAGTCGTCAGTAATTCTTTCTTGTAGTTGGATCATCTGAATCTTTAGAGCCTGTTTGTTCATTAAGCAATAATAAAAATCTTGAGGGACGAGAAAATACAGTTGTATCTTGATCTTGCTCGAATGACAAAAAGGCGATGTTTTATGGTGGAAATGTGCGTTAACGTATGATTTATCAGCAGGTAATTGATAAGTTGCTATCAATATGCAGTGACTCATCTACTGGCTGTCACTTTGGAAGTTTCGATGTAAATTCGTTTGATCCTTAAACTTTTAGGTTCAGTCTTACTTGGATTGAGAGTGAACATCCCACTGCCAACAGTATTGAAACGTCATAGTGGTAGCCGCGATAAATCCTTATTTCTATAGAAGATTATTGACATTATACTGGAACTCCAATTGTTTTGTTATCCAAATGATAATAGGCATATTACTATCAAATTCTTTCTACCGAAAAACTATTTGTTATGTGATGTAAATTGTAATTTATTGTTAGTGAAAAAGCTTTTCATACTCAATTAATTTCAGCCTTGATGGTTAATAGATGATTGTGTTTAGATTATGCAAATGTTAGGGAAGCTTCAATTAAAAGCTGTGATTTTCATTAAAAGTGTATTTGGCATATTAACCTGAAGAGTCTTGATGAACGTGATGCTTCTTTAGTAACAAAGCGATGATGACTTTTAAGACAGTAACAGGGAAGTATGAAACTATCGCTAAGTTATAAGTCACACCATCAGTTAGAAGAATAATGTCTGATTTTGTGGTGAAATATTACTTTCGATTTTCAAAGCAATTTTTATTTTTCTCGAAAGCTCAGTGTAAAGTATATCAATCAGAATAATATGCCAAAATTACGTTGATCTGTCAGTACGCACTTTCCAGGCAAGGCTTATTATGACTCGGTTTTTAGACTCAACCTATGATTTTATACGATAAAGCTGAATAGCCAAATGGTTCTTAACTCAATCAATAGGCTTTTTATTGCTTTTTCCTTAAAATGAACATAAATATAACATGGCAAAACACAGGCAAATTTTCCTGTTCATGAAGTAAATCACCACTACAATCATATTGTTTGCATTGGAAAGGGAAATTAGGACATGTTTTTTGGCTTTACTCTGAGTACATTATCTGACCATGCTTAAGTTTGAATTGTTCTTGTTATTTGAGTCCCTTAACTTACATATCTTGTGAACAGTCAACTTACTTATCACAAGCATGCGTTAGAAACGAGTACTCATGGGTAATTATTACCAATCATTCAGTGCTATTTTGATTGAAAGCGATTTTCTAACTAGCACTGTTATCCCCCAAATGCACTGGTACGACCGAGAGTGGAGAGAGTCCGCTCTCCCTCTCGAAATGCCCTCACATAGCCACGCGTTTACAATCTCTGCCAGGGAAGTCCTACTCACTGCCTTCTCATGGCATTACTGTTGTTTACGAAATTGAGAAGACGAAAAGCGAATGTCCGGCGCTTAATCGGGTCGGTGGATGTGGAGTGTCCACCTAGCGGAGTTGGAAAACCCTGATTCCAAACCAAGCTTGGGATCAAACTAGACTCCGTAGAACAAAACAAATCTCAATTTTCTGTTACCATTATTATTTAACTTGTTTTCTTTGTATCTTTACCTCTTGATTATCATCCAGTATGTTTATTACCAATGTTTCCATTAGAATGTTGCATAAATCTTTTGCGACCTAATTAGGTCGTGAAAGATTTCATTCCATTATTTGACAACACTCAATAATATATAATTTAAAACCTAAACACTAAATTACGATATAAAATTTCGGTATGGTTAAACTACTCTATTTCTACAGTAATAAATCTAAAGTAGATCGTTATTGTTTTTAAAGCTCTAAAATATTAGTTCATTCTATCAGTTTATTGATAAGATAAGAGAAGAAATGTTATCTATTCAACTTTTCACATCATATGAGGATGATCAGTTGTTTGCTCTTCTATTTATTTAAAACCAGATGATATTCTTCATATGTTAGGTTTCCCCTTTACATAAAAGTGAATCATTAAGTATGTTAAAGAACTACATTCTAATACTCTTTGTCGTAGAAGCAAAGTGTTAGTGTCATCAGTGAAAAGTTGAGTAGTCCCTACTCGTGTAGATTAAAATTTAGTTGCGAAACTTCTGTACAGATACTTACCTAAATACCTGTCACACATGAAATTAGACAATCAATCTTTTATGCTTTTACAAGGTAAAATACCAGCTGAAATCAAAAACCACTTAGTTAGTTGATAAGTTTAGTGATGATATTCGAAATGCTAACTTCTAAGTGTTTATCCGGGGAAATAAATATAAGGGTCATGAGATAACAAGTTCCTATGTCTGCAACTTCACATAAGCTTTCTAGTTTAAAGTTTACATAATGTTTTAGTTTGTTCAGGGAATATAAGTTTTTATTATTTATTTAAACACATAAATACTGGTACAAGAAAGCACCAGACATATATGCGCCACACAAATCTCATTTGATTTGCATGAGGGCTGTCATACTGCCTAGGTGCCAAAACCGAAGCAGGTGGGGGCCACACCCTGAGCCTTTGACATAAAGGTCTAATCCAAAAGGCAGTGGAGCATCGTGAGGAGATGCAGTCCCATAGTAGCCGGTGACCAACGATTGATTCATACGCCATTTGTTCCTTCAGGATACTGGAGCCCATGTGCACCATTGGTTTGGAATCAGGGTTTTCCAACTCCGCTAGGTGGACACTCCACATCCACCGACCCGATTAAGCGCCGGACATTCGCTTTTCGTCTTCTCAATTTCGTAAACAACAGTAATGCCATGAGAAGGCAGTGAGTAGGACTTCCCTGGCAGAGATTGTAAACGCGTGGCTATGTGAGGGCATTTCGAGAGGGAGAGCGGACTCTCTCCACTCTCGGTCGTACCAGGGCATTTGGGGGCAGAGAAAATAAGACCGTTACTGGAATTATGATATGCTTTATTTGAAAGACAAAGACGACTGTATAGCTTCAGTAGATGATATTCTGGAAAAGAAAAGCTTTCTCTCAGAGTAATTTTAACGTTTTCGAATCAGCGATGCAATATATTCTATCTTCTTGAAAATGCGACGTGCATTCGAATGCTAATCCAGTATTGATAACGATAAGCTAAAGATAACTGTTTTTCATGCTAATTCTGCTTAACTTTAAAGGACAAGTGTCATTCTAATTTTTCGGCTTTTATTAAAACTTGATGAAAATGTTTTCAGTTTATTAAGTATGAAAAATACTGGAATCTACAATATATCTACAATATGTTTTGTTGATAAACTACTGTAGTATAGAGATGAACCTCTTAAAAATTAGGCTGATCGCCCCTCAAGCAATCAAAATTTTGTTCACTATCGTAGTAGAAAGAGAAAATATATAGTTTAGGATTTCAACAAATATTATAACATCAGTACTACTTGAGCATAGGTGTTATAGGTTACTTCTTTCTGATGTGAAACATGATAAAAATATGTCTGATTGGTTTACCTCTGTTATTTAAATTGTTATCCATGGTGGTGATTGACATCCTTTATCTTGGCTAAACAGGAATCACTGTGAATTTGAATAAGAAATCACTAAAATTATGACAGAATCAGCAAAGTTCGCCTATATCATTCAAGTGTTAAATATTTGTAGCATACTTTGTGCATAATATGTAAGAAACAACAAATCACTTCTTAAAGTTAGTCACAAAATAAGCGAAGCTAATATCTTATATACAAGAAAGAAATGCATTGTTTGATGGAAATATGCGATTTCAAAAATGACTTGTATGTTTTGTGGAGACTGGATAAAAAATGTTGTGTTAGATTTCGACTCAATGGATAATTAATATCGTACAACTCGCGTGATCCTTAAATCTTGACTTTCTTCTTGTGTGGATTGTCACAATGCACACTTGAAGAGTTTTAAGCTAAGACTAAAAACTTTTTTTCTATCGTTTTCACTGATACTGTCAGTTTTTTCACGAACATTATCTTTGCATGTTTAAAATATTAACTTGCTGGGGAAGTTTGTATATTTTATTTATAATTGGTTTGTTTGTTGGTCATAATATTACTTATTGAAGCACAGCTAAGAATATTCTTCTTCGGTGTTAATAACAAAAATAGACTCTTATCTGATAATACTAGCTGTTTGGTGGCAAGTAAGGAAATTAAATAAATGTGCAATAAACATCTAAAGATAAATATCCATTTTATCGATCTACCTATTACCATTTACTCAGTAATCTATGTATTAAATACCTCATTTTAGCTTCAGTTTATACTAGAGTAGAGTATATACATATCATCAACAGTGACGGTTTGTATTATCATACTCTTAATATTTTCGAATTAATTGCGATCAGTCTTTGCCAGCATACGTGCATCCTCAAATCCCTGTATAAATACTGATATATCGAGATAGTCTGCACAGAATTCACATGTGTCAACGAAGACTAATCAAAATTTGGTCGACAATATCAACAACAGGACAATCCAGACCCTTTATAATGGTGATATATGCCAGCAGGACAATCTGGTAGCTATCTGTAATCCGTATCTCAGTGGACAGCGTATTGTGCGTTCGAAGTGAAAGGTACCTGGCTCGAGTCCCAATGTGAACATTATCACGTGTGGATACATACAACTAACAGGTCCGAAATAGGGAAAAATAGCAACCTTAGTTTTACTGCTAGCTACAATTCATCTATTCTTAGAAGTGTATGTTTAACTTTTGAATTTAGTTGCAAGAAGTGAATCAGTTCTGCGGTTACAATTATCATCGTTATTTCAAACAAAAACATGACATTTGTTGTATTTCTGTTGGTGTAATGGACTTTCCTTTAGTTGATATTACAATATCTCTAAAACTTTAGATATCCAGATTATGCTACCATATTTACCTTTGACGTCTGTAAAAAGTGATGACCATTTCAACCTATATTTCAAGAGGATTAGATTTTCATTAGATACACAGAATAAACCAAGTAGTATAGTTTGGTTGATTAGTTAAAGTTCTGAAAAATGATGTCTCGTTTTTGATAATACAGTATTTGAATGTAAGAAAAGATCTATTGAGAAATAGAAGATATAAAATGTTCATTTAATGGTAATCTTTGTGGAAGTTCAAAATATCAAAACTAGCTTGTTACATTTGTTAGTAAGAGCAAACTTACAAAGTAAATTCATTTGAATTACAGCTATGAATAAGCGATAGTCTTTGTTGTTCACGTTATCATGTTCATAAGATTCTTTTAATAATAAATAGTGTCATTAGTTCTACATAAATCGTTTTACAAATATCTTAATAACTCTTGTTATTCATATGTTGTTGGTTACATTGATTTCGTATATCAAATCATGAGTTGTATAAGTTTAGTACATCTCTAAAAAAAACTAGTTTGGTTTTTAAGAATATTCTGAATAAATTTATTAAACTACTATCTAATTGTCTAAAAGTTGGATTGTAAAAATAAAAACTCATTTGTAACAGGGTTTTACTGGCCACATAGAATCAACCTTCTCTCAGTAATTGTTCGCATTAATAAATTACATATGGTCAGGTGAAGTTAAGTGGTAGTTCAATGATTAGCATTCATTATTTACGCTGGATCAATATCAACATTATTTTATAACTGCAGATCCTGTAATTCTATGGTTAATTTCATATACTTATTTAATTCATTCATCTTAGCTTATTTACTAATTGAGAAGCTTCCATTCTATCAGAGTGAACTAATAAAGTTCTAATTTGATATATTTTATAAAACTCTTTTCAAGTAATCAACGTTTTCTTATAGCCTACGATGCTATTTTTTAAAGTATAATCTGTTATTCTTACTTACTTACTTACTTACGCCTCTTACTCCCAATGGAGCATAGGCCGCCGACCAGCATTCTCCAACCCACACTACTCTATCCTGGGCCTTCCTTTCTAGTTCTATCCAATTTTCGTTCATTCTTTTCATGTCTGTCTCCATTTCTCGGCATAATGTGTTTTTTGGTCTTCTTCTTATCCTTTGGCCTTCAGGATTCCATGTGAGGGCTTGCCTTGTGACACAGTTGGGTGATTTCCACAATGAATCTGTTATTCTAGATTTGGTAAAATATATTATGCTGAATAGTAGACCCATAGCTAAATTTCTTAGATAAGTACACATTTTATCCTTGGATCTATGGAAATCTTAATATTTGTAATAGTTTAGGAGGAAATATGCGAACAGATACTCTTTTTTTAACCTTATTTAAATATTTAATTCCTGGTAGTTGATTATTTTTAAAAATGAGTTTCATACTAATCTATTCAAGGTATCATTATCAGTATGAATCAATAATTGTGAAATGTATAACATCCTTTTGTCATACAGATTCTATCTTGAATATAGATATGACGACACAGAGTTTATCGTTCATTTAAATGTCTAAATTTCGTTTGACTGAGTGGTTACCTAACTTTTTCCTCTTTTCATGATTCCTGTAAAGTTTTAGTAGTTTTTCAGTGATATCGCAAGTTTTGAACGTGACAAATGATTTTAGTGACTGTTAAGATGAAAATATTTAATAATTTTATTCCACCTTATTACTTCCTTTTGATATACTTAACTAGATGTTATCTGATATCTTTCTCCTTACTGATAAATTATAAGAGGGTTTTCTGTGGTGATTTTAAGTAATTTTTCTGTGGAGATCTCCACAGAAAACCTCCTTATCATGTGCTCACTAGTGACTGGCTTCATGGGGTATTTCCTAGAGTTCTAGTGAGAAGCAGTAACCAGTGGAGTTCAACCAGGTCTGTTTGGAGATATAAACTCACAGAAGACATTGGTGAAATGGTTGCTCAACTTCGTGGATTAGTTGAAGTTAGATATTAACAAGGTTGAATGCCGGCTCAGTGGTCTATTGGTCAAGTGTTCCGGCGCGAGACTGGTAGGTCTTGGGTTCGAATCTCGCGAGGCAGGATCGTGGATGCGCACTGCTGGAGTCCCACAGTAGGACGAAACGGCCATCCAATGCTTCCAGGTTTTCTACGGTGGTCTAGCTTCAATTGACTCATGATTTCAATTATATATGATAAATTATAAGCTCAATGATCCTTTAAGCAAAACGTTATATTCATTCAGTGCTTAGGTTTATCGAATGAGATATATACAACTCGTTGGACGACGAATTATTCTTGCAACATTTTAACAACAGATACATATATGGATTCAAAATATTAATATTTTTGGATTTGATATAGAATGTTTCTCATTAAAACATAGTTAAACATCATATTAAGATATACTTCATTGATGATGTTAAACAAATATATTCTATTATCGTTGTCACCATCCTGAACTGTAAAATATCCCGTAAGATTTAACAGGTGATTATTTTTACTTGTTCTAAGGAACTATCTAAATGATCGAACCCCGAACTTTGACAAACAAACTAGACCATTATAATGATTATTATAAACAATCAAAAGTGCTTTGTTCACTTTGTCCAGTAAGTAAATTCTTATATTTGAAACTGAATTACATTGAGAGTTATTTTGTTTGTATCATTTTAACTAATTACATTTCATTACCTATAAAGAAAAGAAATTAATTCCATTGCTTCCAAGACTTGGAATGAATTAAAGAAACTAATAGTTTTCAGACTTTATCATAAGAAGAATTTAAAATTATTTTTGATAATCAACTTAGCATTAAAATTTGTGCTTACAGATATATCATTAATGTTCTAATTTTTTTATTCGTAGAGTTTACCAAATGATCATCAAAATGTACAATATTTAGAAGATGGTACAATTGAAGTCACTGATACATTATCAAAAGAAGAATATTACAAAAGTTTACGTCGTCGTTGTAATACAGGCAATAGTCAAAATACGAGACAATATGGATTATCTAGTCAATTGAGCCTAGAAACTTCTCAACGTGGTACATTACGTTCTGGATTTGGTAAACGTAAAGGTACATTGCATGATTTTAAACCGTCTGGAAAAGAAGAACTATGTTATGTTCTTATGTTAGAAGGTGTAGAAAAAACATATACCATAGATGTAAGTTGGTTTATCCAAAAATTTATACTGTATTTTCTAAATAATAATTGTATTGTTTCAAGTTCATATGGTCCTCGCATATTTATATAGACGTATAAAATATTATTACAGTTGATTCTGCATTTTGCTAAACACTTTAACTGATTAGTACAAGCTTATCCAATAATGAATAGTTTTTTTTATTTGAAAGTATTTCTTCGCCTTTGAAGTAGTTTAGAAATTTATTCATTTATTTAACAACAACTTACGCCTTTTTAATGGGTTGTAAAAGGTTAATTTTATAATTAAAATAACCCAGTGTGTGATTGAATAAGAATAAAGAAAATTCAGCGAAGAAAATTCTCTTCGATGAAATCATTTACTTAGGCTGTACATTCGTATTTATAGTTATATGGAAAATATATGTCTATAGTAGGATAGAAAAGATTGCATCATAAATTGATTTGAGACTAAATATCAAATGAGCTCACGCAATAATCAAGGGGTAAGGAAGGAATATAAGGATAGGAATAATTGTCCGATTGACAGATAAGATGAAAAGCGGCAAACATAAAGGTCATAATAATATAAACTGAATAATAATCAAGAAAACTTGTATAAGGTAATAATGATAACTGATTAGAGTTCATAAAAATAATGTCCCTCTACGTCCTATATTTAATATGAACAACTCTCCATATCACTTGATTGCTAAATGGTTAGCTGATATTTTACAACCCGTTAAAAATCATATCAATAAATATAACTCTCTTGATTCTTTTACTTTGTCGACTCAATTAGAAATATCAATGTAAATGGTACAAAAATAATCTCATTGGATGTCACTTGTCTTTTTACAAATATTCCTCTCACAGAAACCATGTTTTTTATGTGACTACATTGAAAACAATAACCTTGATATTTGTATCCCAAAACATTATCTAAAAGAATTATTTCTGCGATGTACTCTCAATGTTTTATTTATTTATTTATTTAAACACATATATATTGGTACAAAAGGGCACCAGGTACATATGCGCCACACAAAATAATGAAAGTAGGAAGAGAAGGGATGAAAAGATAAGGCGGACTGAAATGTACAACCAGAAGACTCTTTCAGTTAAGAAAGTTAGAACTATTCTTTATGTAGAAAGTAAAAGAAGGTTGCAGAAGGATCGCCACTGGCTTCTATTCTGAGCCATATCTGATAACGTCTCTAGCCACTGTGTTGCACCATCTCTCGGACCCCAACCAGGGAGTCGTGAAGGACCAACGGAAGCTAGCCCTTTGCAGCTTTCTTTCATGCCACGACACCATGTCATACACTGACCTCCTCTCCGCTTTTTCCAACCAGTCCCAGGGTCGGCAAATAATGCACGACGTGGAAGTCTCTGGGACGACATTCGTAAAACATGTCCAAGCCACCGAAGTCGGTGTTTCAAGATGGTGACACCAATTGAATTATCGACTCTGCGACCGAACACACGATGCCGAACCTCTGCATTACTAACATGGTGTTGCCACTGGATGTCAGCAATCCTTCGGAGACAACGATGATCGAACACAGAGAGTCGTCTAACATCCTCAACTCGGAGAGGCCAGGTTTCACAAGCGTAGAGCAAAACTGCTCTCACCGACGCGTTGTAGATCCGACCTTTTACAGCCAGACTAACATCACGAAGGCGCCAAAGATGACCCAGATTGGCATAAGCCGCTCTGGCTTTCATTATACGTGCATCAATCTCATCACTCACGCCACCACCAGCACTTATATAGCTACCTAGATACACAAATTTCTCAACTACTTCAATCTGCTCACCATCCAGGGTGAGTACAGGATGAGAATCCTGCCAGTCTTGTAGGAGTACTTTGCACTTGGAGGGTGCAAAGCACATGCCGTACCTGCGGACACTGATTGTCAACTGATTAAGTGCGCATTGCATGGCTTGAGCATTATCGCACAGTAAGACAATATCATCCGCATACTCAAGGTCGAGAAGTCGTTCTCCAGGCAACATATCCACACCGTCATTACTTACATCCATCAGAGCTGTTTCCAGGATGTCATCGATGGCAAAGTTGAAGAGGAATGGTGAGATCGGGAAACCCTGCCTAACCCCACTGCTCGAATGAAACAAGGGAGGAAGGTGGTAGTATGCTCTCACTCTGCCTTAGGTGTTCGTATACAGGGCCTTTAAGATGTTAATGAACTTCTCAGGCACACCCTTCTTCAATAGACAATCCCAGAGAACAGTCCTGTCCAACGAATCGAAGGCAGCCCTGATATCAAGAAACACTACGATTGTTGGCCTGCGATAAGTATGACGGTGTTCTAACATTTGGCGGAGGGTGAAGATGTGATCAATGCATCCTCGACCAGAACGAAAACCAGCCTGCTCCTCGCGAGTCAATCGTTCTCGGGTTTTAAACAACCTACGAAGAATGATAGAAGCCAATAGTTTGGACGCAATCGAAAGTAGACTTATTCCCCGGTAGTTATTGCAGGAACAACGTGAACCCTTTTTAAAGATAGGGACAACTATCGACTCATTCCATGATGTTGGAACACTTTCTTGTTCCCAAACCTTTCCAAACAACGCGGTCAGTTCCTTAGTGAGAAGGTCACCACCATCTTTAAAAAGGGCCGGAGGTAAGTCATCTGGGTCAGGTGATTTATAACGTTTCAAGAGTTGGAGTTCCTTGCGGACTTCCGTCTCGTTTGGTGGATCAGTCGTCACCGGCCATGGGGGGCAGGACAAGCTGATTGATGTTGCCGGAGCAGCAGGCCAGTTGAACTGCCCTTCGAAAAATTCCACCCATCGTCCAAGACGTCGAGAGATATTAGTGATTGGCATCTCATCATCCTCGTAGATTGTTTCACTCATATCAGACTTCTTGCTGCCAGTGGCTCGGATGAGTTGGAAGAGCTTCCGGCAGTTACCAGATGCAGCTGCTGCTTCCATCTCATTAGCACGCTCCGACCACCAGGCTTCCCGGTCCTTACGCAAGCTTTGCCCGATTTCATTACGTAACAGCCTTCGTTTGTGGTCATACTCACGGTCACCCGGAGTAGACCGACGGGCTTCCATCAGTTGTAAGGAGCCAGAAGAAACCCAGTGCTTGTAAGCGGGACGTTTCGCGAAGCCGCAAGCGGCTTTACTCGCCATTTTCATGGCGTCGTGAAGATGCAACCAATGCTCATCTATACTTTTCGGTGGGGTGGTAGCTAGCCTAGAGGCTAGCTCCGCTCGATACTTACTTGCAACAGAAGTTGCAGCCAGTTTACTAACATCAATCCGTTGGTGGTGATCAATCCTTCGGCCACTGAAAAGTAAGGTGAGTTTGGTGCAGACCAGGGCATGATCAGACTCCAGATAGGTACTCCAAAAGAAGCGACAGTCTTGTACACAACCACGCCAGCGGTAGCTGATCGCGATGTGATCAATCTGAGTCCAGGCTTGGGATGCAGAGGGAAGACGCCAGGTGGCACACCGGCGATCACTGTGCCGGAAGTTAGTGCTAGCCAGAAACAGGTTGTGGTCTGTGCACAGTTACAGCAAACGGTCCCCGTTATCTGTCCTGCGACCAACAAGTTCCCATCGGCCACCTAAACGACTCTCTTCTGTGCCTAGACGCCCGACCTGTGCATTCAAGTCTCCGGCTAGTACTACAATATCTGTCGAACGCGCTTTCTGGAGAAGAACTGTTAACTGATGGTAAAACTCATCCTTGATTGCATCCGGGCTGCAATCTGTCGGGGCATAGGCGGAGATGACGAAAAGACACCGTTTCTCACGCCGATTTCTTCTCACTTTGATGGAACTTTCTAATCTAACAGCACATAACCAACTGTTAATGGGGATCCAATCGATTAGTGCTGCCTCAACCCTAGCGCTTAGTGCGACACCAACGCCAGCAAGACCAGACGAAGATGCCACAGGGTCCCCGGATAAGCGCACGTGGTACAAGCTTTTCGAGGCGACAGATGGAGAGCGGATTTGTAGTACTTCACTAGAGTCTTGAATACGGGTCTCAGATAGACAACAAACATCAACATTAAGACCTTCCAAAGACATAGCCAGCCCTATCTGTTGTCTGATATGCATTGGTGTGCGAACATTGAAGGAAGCCAGCTTGAACGGCGTACGTGGTTCCACCATGGGCGAGCTGCTGCATAAGTTGAAAAGTAAGGTTACACAAATTGGGGATAGAAGGGGGTGAGTTAGCGATATGGTAAATAATAATAATAATAAAGGTAATAATAATAATGTAAATTGTCTTGCTTCTAGTATGAGCAGGAATAGTATCGTCAATAGAATTCATCATTTCATTTATTTGTGTGTGGTCTGTGATACTGCCCGGGTGCCCAAACTGAAGCAGGTGGTTTTCTTAGGGGGCCACACCCCGAGCCTTTGACCAAAAGGTCTGATCCACAAGGCAGTGGAGCATCGTGAGGAGATGCAGTCCCATGGTAGCCGGTGACCAATGACAGGTTCGTCTGCCATTCGTTCCATCAGAATACTGGAGCCCATGTGCACCATTGGTTTGGAATCAGGGTTTTCCAACTCCCCTAGGTGAAATTTCCGTGTCCACCAACCCGGTTAAAGCGCCGGACATTCACTTTTCGTCCTCTCACTTTCGTACACAACACCCCCGCCACGAGAAGGCAGTGAGTAGGACTTCCCTGACAGAGGCTATATATTCGCTGGCCATGTGAGAGCATTTCGAGAGGGAGAGTAGACTCTCCCCACTCTCGACCGTACCAGGGCATTTGGGGGCAAACAAATGGAGTTTGAATGGGTTCTCCATTGGGTTTCCTCTTGGTTGACTGTTTCATGGTCAATCCAGAAAATTCGACACTTCGACCAATAATTGAGAGATTTCATTTAAATAACAGATATATGGATGTTAATTTCATTATTTGTGAAGAAGACATGGACCTCAATGAAATTGTGAATAGTTTCAATAATTGTCACCCCTCAATTCTATTTACTTTGGAATCAGAGGCAAACAATGAATTC